AATGTAATGTAATGTAATGTTATGTTATGTTATGTTATGTATGTATGTATGTATGTATGTATGTATGTATGTATGTATGTATGTATGTATGTATGTAGTATGTATGTATGTATGTATGTATGTATGTATGTATGTATGTATGTATGTATGTATGTATGTATGTATGTATGTATGTATGTATGTATGTATGTATGTATGTATGTATGATGTATGTATGTATGTATGTATGTATGTATGTATGTATGTATGTATGTATGTATGTATGTATGTATGTATGTATGTATGTATGTATGTATGTATACACCCATATATGATGAACAACTTCCGCAACCACTTCAGTTGCATGTTTTGTTGGTCCATGGCTACCCAGTTCCCCATCCCAACAGGTGCCTGTGCCCTGTTCTGCCGCAGCGCGTTCGCAGCTCTATGTCAATCGCAGCTGCGAGGCACTGAGCGAATCATCCCCAAAGCTTATGGTCTGATTCGGGAAATATAGAATTGGGTGGGGATGAGAACATATTCCCAAATGCAAATTGGCTTATGTTGGTTCTGATACTTGGCTATCTTGTTTATAACCATTATACACATCCCATATTGTGGGGAAACTATAGGATGGTTCTGCAAATTGGCTTATATGATTAGTTCTGATTTGGAGATGTTATGACATTGTTGCAATTTGCCCAGTTGATCAGGTTTTACCAACAAATACGGGGGTTTCAAGACATGTGGTGATATACTTGGGGATGAGTCAATAGCCTTGTGATATCACATGAGGGCACCACCAGGGCACTGAGGTTTTGATCCATAGCTAGCCGTCCAACCACTGCACACTTCTTTGGTACAGTACCTGGTGGCTTCCATCAGCTTAGAGACGCTGTGATGCTGGCTTGATGTTGAGGCCTCAAAAAGAATCTCGCAGGAAAGTGCGAGCAAACTAGTGGTCAGTTCAACGCTTAAAAACAGTGAACGGTTATTTCTTGATATATCAAATTCACAGTCAGCAAGCATCAGCACCCTGCATGGCTCTGACTGCATGGCTCTGCGACCTCAGCAGTGTCAGGATTAATGAACCATCAGTTTGGCAACAAAGGGGGGGGTGCTTCAATTTTACTGTAATGATTCCATTAATGATCATTTCCTGCAAATTTACCATGCTTTTGATGGTACCCCCCCCAAAAAAAAAACAACAGCGGATGGTTGGTGCCAGGGTGCAGCTGAGCCTGCCAAGCAGCGGGTCAAGAGGCGGGTATTCCAAATGTTGGGTCAGACCCAAATGATCATATTGTTGCTTAATGTTGCTTACATTATATACTGTATCTTATTATTATATCATATCCATTCATATCCCCATTCAATCACCATATTTGCAATGAACAAATCCCATTAAATCACCATTTTGATTGGTTCAATCCATGGAATACACGACCCATTTGCATTATTCATTGGTCAAATCCCAATTTTGGATGGCGAGACCCTTCAGATCTCTTGCCCTAAACGGACCTTGTCCCAAGAATTTGGGTCAGCAATGCTGTTTATTGACGTTCCCATGGTACGAGGCTACCCCCTCTTCGAATAAACAAAAATGCATCTTCGGGATTTGGACATTTTTGGAAGTCAGATTCCAAACTCAAGATATTGAACAATTCTTAAAACGACATGCAGTAAGAACATGAAACCTCAGGACCTTGATTTTTTCGAGGTCATATTCATCAAAAAACAGGCAGGAAAAACATTGGGGAAAAATGGGGCAACAAAACTTCCGAAAAATGTTGGCGTACTTTATTGTGGGGTGGTTTACTGATCTGTCCTGAGTCCTGGCATGTGGTTTATTTATTTTTTGTAGCGCCTGTATTTGTTTTTTACCGGACATGGACATTAAAACTCGGAATTTCAGAAATGCCTTATCTTTGCTCCAATCCTTTATGCCTTGTTGGCAAATAAGATCTCTCAATCCCGCTCCCCCAATCAGATTGACTTCCCCACGTGGGCTTCCAATGTGTTTGCCACCGAAACCCGCACCTGCGTTGCCGCTCTTTCCTTCACTCTGCATCTTGGCCTCTTAATTTTGGTGTTGCCCCAAGTTGGTAATATATCTCAATCAACACCTCTTTAACATTCTTTAACTATAGTCTATAACCACATGAAATAACTAGTCTACAACAAAAATGACATCCACATGTGTCCCCCGAAAAAAAACAAAAAAACGCCGCCGGGTCCCCGCTGTTCCCGCTGCAGCAGCTCCAGGGCAATGTTGCAGCTGGTGGACGTCATGGAGCGCCTTCGGCAGCTCTTGTCCTTTGTAGAGATTTTCTACAAATCCGGATGTGACTTGGATCGGAAATGTCTGAAATGGGGACATGGGGATGGAATGGGATGGAAATGGAACGGGATAGCCATGGATAACCATTATTTGATGGGACATCTTGATGACATATCTATCATATCATATGAATTATATATGGGACCATATACACTTTATATCACTTTTTTTTTATAAAATAAATAAAATTCGAATATATTCAGATCAAATATATTCTGACAGGTGTCGGGGATTTTAGCGCAACCATGGAAACGTAACCATTTGTAGATTGTTTACTGAAAAGAAGCATGGCCACGTCCCATCATTCTCCGAGGATATGTTAGATTACCAGAGGGTAACCCCTGGTGTCTCATATTGGGTAGCCATCCCATCAATTTCCTCATCGTTTGACATTGAAGATATTGGCTGGGGTAGGATACCCCGTTTTAGTATATAAGGGGATCAACATGTTTTTGTTCCTCCAAACTTGGATTTTTTTCCACACAACTTCCCGCAGACCGGTGTCACGACCCGGTCACGGCCATCGTTGCGACAGGTGTCCAGTCGGTTCTTCAGCATTCTCTGCTGCAAGAACCAAAGTTAGGCACCCAAATGTGGTGGATCCACTGGCCAAAATGAACACCAAAACGGGGGGTCTGATCCATGTGGTATTATCGTTTAATCTGAGGATGGATCAGATCCGTTTGCGCGCAAGACCCATGTGAGGTTCATTTTACTTGGAGTTTGATATGATTACGGACGTTGAAACTGCAACGTGTAAGTTGCGCATGCTTCCAGTACACTTTCAGCCGGCGTTTTTGTCTCTTTGCCCTTTAGGCACAAAAAACTAGCATTACTAGTAGGATTTAGTGGAGTTTTGGTATGTCATTGGAGGAAACAGTACTATGGTAGCGTTATTTCACCCATAAGAATTCCTGTCGCAAAACATCCGTTTTTGCTAAAGGAAACACTGTCCTTGGTAACCCAGTTTCAGGTACCAGGGTTCACAGGAGTAGTGAAGATCCATTGTGAGAACCACGCTTTTCACCAAGCGAAAGGCGACCCAAGGGTCTTACTACTAATCAATGCCTCTCTATAGCGTGATATTTCTTAAGTCCAAACTGAATAGCATGACAGTCTGGCCATTTGGCAACCATTCGTGCGGTAATCAAGGAAACTCTTGGATTCATTCGGCACGGTTTCCTGATTTTGTTGTCTGTCTATCTGAGTCGTTGAGACCTGTTCCCAATTGCTCCTAAGGTCAACTTCTGGCGTGGAGGCAGTGTTGCATTTTGCTGGATGGTCGGATTGGGGGTCTATTCTTAAGGGTGAAATGGTGTGAAATGGCCGGATCTTCATCAAAATGGTTGCCCAAACAATTGGGGCTTTCCAACTCTCTAGTCAGATGCACAAAGCTCTCCTTGCGTTCTGCCTTCAAAGTGAATAAGGTAAGCATTTCCTTCCATGTTCCACATCCGGAAAGTCTCCAGTAGTCACAGTAGTGCAGGCATCCTTGCCAACAGCAGCCTCGATGCTTCTTTCAACGAAGTTGCGAGATCTGGTTTTGTCTCCTCTGAGCATGTGGCCCGTTGCTTGGGGCCTCAGATGGGCATCAGATGGCACACCTTCAATGAGGTTTTCTTCAACAATGGGGGAGCCGAGAAATCTTCACAAAATAATTCTATACTTAACAAAATTGTTGATTCTTGCTTGTCACGAAAGCTAGCTTCTGCTAGCTGAAGTCCCTCTTGCTTTACCAAAGTGTTGGGGGGGCTGGAATCTCCAATCGCGTGAAACTACCACCCTCCCCCCGGCTGACTGGTTCACAAGCAGTTTGGCCGTGGCTCAATCCCCCCCCGGTCGCCACCGGCAGCAAATTCGGCAGCATCCGCATCCTCAGCATCACTGTGCTTTCATATTTTTCATGCCAAGCTCAAGCTCCCTGCCAAGCTAGCTTTCGTCCCTTACCCCTGGGCCTCAAGTTTGCTGGGCAGTTGATTTTTCTGGGGTCTGTGCCTGGGATGCGAGGTGCAACTGTGCAATGCTTTGATCTTAGAGGCCTGTGACCCAGAATTTCCGGACCACCTCATCTCGGCCCCCCAAAAAACATGTCAATTTGCAATGGGGAACATGATCTTCGAAAAAAAAAAACAGTGGATGGAAAGCGGTTTTCATCTTTTCTCATCATTTCCAGACCCAACAATCCGAACTGTTGGTTATACAAAAGCCCATGATTTTCCAATAAGTATCCCAGTATTCCCTTTGTTCAAGTATATGTACATTCTCCACACATGCCCGAAACGATGGGATCTCAGGTGGTGCGTCGGCAAGATACCGGAGAAGGCAGATCTTCAGCCGATACTACTTGCCGCGAGCTGCAGGAGAGTTTCGCGGGATGTTGATTTGCCAAGCCTCTCAATTCAAAGATGTCAGCAAATACAGCTGGGGCTTTACCAACACTGAAAGTCAACGATACATGTTTTATTGTGCATGGCCCTCTTGCAAATGTCCTGCGCCGCAGCACAGGCTACGTTTGCCCAGGACATTATCGTTGCAGTATTCATGTTGCTGAATCAACCTCACAGACAGCTTCACAAGTCCAGCATGTTCAAGTCACTTCATCCACGGCTTATGTTTCAATGAGTAAGCTCAATAAAGTGTCCAAGGGATAGAGGGAGCAGACGGAATCCCTTCAGCTCTTTTACTTGCCGTTGGTGTGCTCAACAAGCCATTTTGCAACAGCCCCTGGGCCCCCTGCGCGGCTGCTGGTTGAAACCTGTGCATTTTGGCAAGGGAGACGCTCCTCGACGGGCCAAGTTGGTGGGAGTTTGGCCTTACAAGGTATGTTACAATATGTTTTTTTTTAGAGAGGGGATAGTTTGAAATATACCACCCCAAATCGTTTAATTATTTTAATTATGACATTTGATGACTGGGCAAATGAGGGTTTCTTAACAGGGGAGACCCCACAACAATCCAAGTAATTGAACACTCATTGGTCATTTGGTTCATAGGAAAACCAATGGTGAAATGGGGCGCAGTATCCCAAAGAATTGAAAAACACCAGTTTTGTTTGGTGATCGATCACAGTCACCATGGCTATTGTCATAGATGCTTATCCAAATGGGGTTTGTCTGAAAATAGCGCACCCCCCAAACCTAATGCTTGGTCATCTTAGTCATCTTCATCATTTCCCTGTTAAATAGCATTAAACAAAATAGCTATTCTTTGGATATGCCCATTTTCTGACGGGCCTTAAATGGTGCGTTTTTTTTTCACTTCACCCAGCAGGTGATGTCCAACATGGAGGGCGATGCGGGTGACGAGCGACACCGACGATCCAGCGTAGCGCATATGAGGTGCGTGTAGCGAGCCATGTTGGGGGATTGTTGGGGGATTGTTGAAAATCACCATTTTCCTATGGTTTCCCCATGAGAGACTAGTGACAAGTTTTATCCATGTTATACATCCCAATTTATCCCAATATTTCCATACGTATAATGTTGGTAAAACAATGCCATAAACCATCCCCCAGTCACCATAAATAGTTTGCCATTCCATTAAATAGCTGGTTTGTGATTGTTTTACCAACATTAAATGAATAGTAATTTGAAACAAGATTTACAAAGCTTAAATATACCACACCAATTTAGCAGGATTTGACTTTTCTGTCTCTTCTTTTGGGTTCCCCAAAATATGACAGCGTTTGGGGTTAGGCAATATTTTTCAACAAACCCATATTATGCCCACAGTACGCACGGCGCTGCTTTAACAAAATATGCTTGTGATATCTGATGATTCTCATGATTTCGCATTACTTCGGGTGATTTTGGCATTGCAACAAAAACACCACTAAACCTTCCGCGAGTTGCACATGCTTTAGTCACTTTAGTCTCAATGTTTTTTCCCTCACCTGCTGGACTTTCAGAATGATTGATGGCTTTCACCGATGACTGCCAGGTTGAAGACTGTTCGCCAGACCATTTCGCTCAGAGGACGTTCATTCTCAGAAGCAGATGGGCAATCACAAGGCAGCTTGAAACACAATTCATGAAGGTCCGAGCTCTGGTGCAACATGGTAAATTATGGTAAATTGAGTGGTTCTGACATTGCAGTTTTAGTGGTTTTGGTGAGAGCCGCTTGGCTTTTGGAGCTGGGCTCCAAATTTGCATCCAAATGCCAAGTAACGTGCAGGTGGTACTGTAGAATAGAACATGGTGGAACAATCAACGTTGGTCCGTGCCCCTTGTGCTTTTTACTTGTAATCTTCTCTCGAAGTGCGCGAAACCAACGAAGCTCTGGCTTCTGGGACCTTCACAATGAGATCCAAATTGCTGCAAAAAGGGAGGCTACCCCAGTTCATGGCCATTTTAAGAAGGGAAGATTATGATTCTCTATTTCCCACAGGATGTTCTATTGCGCTTATTCATGTTTGTTTTACTTGTTGTTGGTTTATTATTACATGTTGGTTTCAAATGAGTTCCCCCAGCCTTCTTCCAGAACCAGCTGGACTAGGCAGCAGCAGTAGCACCAAGAGCAGATCGCTGCAGAATCGCCCTGTCCTGTCGCTGGGCCGGAGATGTTGGCAGATACTCGTACGACGCATTTTGTTTGGAACACACTTTTATTATACATACATATATACGTATATAATATATATATATATACACATTTTTTACATGGTATATTATAATACATATTATATTATAAATATCATCTTATACTTATTATATTGTTCATATATATATATATATTATGTATACTACAAATATACATATCTGACTATACATCATATCATATGTGTGTATATATCTGCATACTTATTCCATATACATCTGTATATGATTATATATCATATCATATGCATATATATATATATACTTTATATATCATGATACACATGTATATATTATATATATATACACATACAATATCTCCATATACGCATGACACCCATACACATTAGTATAACTATCTAATGGTTCATGTTATAACAACAGCAACACACATCAAGACCTGTTGCAACCTCTGCGCTTGTCCGTTGGCGCCACCGGAAAGCGGGCAGGCGTTTGCTGGCAGAACTGGCTGAAAGCCATGACAGCCTCCTCAGCAGAGGCTAGAGTCTGGATGGTGATTCCGGGAATTGAAGGGATCCAAAAACCATGGTGAAAACCTACCCTCTGGTAAATTAACTAGACCCTGGCAGTCATCGGGGTTGGAAGATGAGTTTCCATTAAAAATTAGGGTGATTTTCAGGGTCTATATTTATTTACCAGGGGGGACTTGTGTATTTGGGGTAACAAGCCATGGTTTCAACATGTTTCAACTCAGGTCCTTAAACCAATCCAGAGGATGGTCTGCTTGGAAAAAAAACATCAAGCACTTGAGAAATGTCATGAAATGTCTCTGGAAAGTGACTGATTTTGATATATTTTGATCACCTAAGCTTGCACCATCTTGCATGAACGTCAACTTGCTAGGTGCTGGGGACTCCACGAGCGCCTCTGGACTGAAATCGTGTGATCGTATCCATTTGGGTTTGTCTGAAAACGGGGTACCTTTAAGATCCTTTAAGCTACAAGAGTGTAGATAGCTCTACACCACTCTATACACCATTTTTAAAATAGACCATTTTATAGATATACTCACTTTCCAATTGGCATCAGGTATTTTCTGGCCACGATTGCCAGAGGGTAACTCCGCTGGCCATCCTCAACCGAGGCCCTCTACTTTGCCTCAGTCGTTGTGGCAGCGATATCTTCTTTGCTTGGCGGGCAACGTCAAGGCTTCAAGGCAGGGACTTGGGAGGCATCCATACCTTCACCATCCTTCACCACTGCACAGTGAAATGTCCCTCTTGTACTGACGGCCTTCAAATCCCCAGATTCTACGCGTCCGCACCGCAAACTCCCAAAGACCCACAAGCCAGACATACCCTGAGTACTTTTTCAGCGTGTCTCGACCCAGATCGACCCAGCACCCGGCAGTACCCAGTAAGTACTTGATGCGCACATGCCAGGCATCATGGTCTTTGGGACTCATACAGATGCTTCTCTTTTGGTTGCTTGGTACACGCTGTGCCAACTTGCTGGTTCAGAATTGGAAGCTCGGCTATCTCCAAATTGTCAGAAACAAGTCCTTTGGAGCTTTACAGTTGATGCGAATTGTAGACCCAATAATAACTCCTTCTTTGGATATGGTGTTCATGACCACATGGTAGTTGACCATATCAATTTTTTCGACCCATAATGACTCCTTCAATTAATCAGCCCCAAATGGTCAACTTGGGTAGATGGGGTCAGCGATTTCCAGGAAGCGCCTTCCAATCCCGGCAGCTGCAGATGGGACCAGCTTTGCCATCCTCGCAGCTTTGAGGCCCGTCCCAGCGATCTGGCGGGAAAATCCACCATTTTGTTATCAGATGTATATTAATTGTATATATATATACATACCATTATATACATATAATTACATATATACCATTATATATGCATACGATTAGATAGATATAGTATATATATATTATATTTGAATATATATATTTATATATAATTATATATATATATATATTATATATATATACATACATAATTATATAATTTAGTTATATTTAAATACCTCCATTTAGTTCGGACATTTCCAAGCCAGTCACGTTTGATTATCAGAGGGTATATTTTGGTGTGAAAATGAACACGATGTACAAAGATGTGGAGTTTTTTCGCAAACAAGAACGTGCATTTGGATTGCTACACCTTGAGAGGTTGTACGCTTTCTCTAGTACATATCCAGAGAGAGATGTGCACACACACACACATACACACACACACAAAGAACACATACGAAATGCTGATATATATACTGTATATATATATATATATATATACGCGCAACGCCTGGGCTTTGCCCCAGCGTTGCAGAGTAGAGGGTTGTCATTCCCATTCCCATTCACATTCAATTGGGAAGATCAACAAAGGTATTAGGGAATATTAGAATCCGACCCCTGTTAAACTCTACATTCAAGTGGGAAGATCAACAAAGGCATTAGGGAATATTAGAATCCCACCCCTGATAAACTTCACATTCAATTGGGAAGATAAACAAAGGTATTAGTATTAGGGAATATTAAAATTCCACCCCCCTTAAACTATACATTCAATTGGGAAGATCAACTACGTTGCCGTTCGGGGCAAAAGCCCAGGCATTTGCCGTGTATATATATATATATATTGATTGTAGAACCCCCGTTTGGCTTAATACTGCTTTTGCCGTTTCGGTGCAGGAGGGGGGGGTATTGGTGCGCGGCTGCTGCACGGAAAACGGAAAATAGGGGCAAGGGTGTGTCTGGGCAGGGGAAAATAGGTGTGGGAGTGTGTCCTTGCCGATCCATGGATCCAGTTGGGATCCAGTCGGGACGCGGTTGGGCACCAATTTTGCATTTTTGGGCAAAAAGAGCATTTTTGTAGGGTTCTGGCACGTTTTTGGGCGATTTTTAGCTGCTTCCCGACAGGTCCAAACGTGGTGCCAAAAATTCGAAACTTGGTGCCCGACTTGATCTTGACTGGATCCCGACTGGATCCCGACTGGTCAAAAGTGGTGCCAAAAAACAAAATTGATGCCCGACTCTCCTGACTGGATTCTGACTGGATCCCGGCTGGTTTTCTTCAAAACAACACTTCCCGCGCTCCTATCTCCAAAATTTGAGCACCAATTTCTGAAAATTTAGCACCTTGCCGTGCAACTCTCTCTCTTTCTCTCTCTCTCTACTCTCTCTCTCTCTCTATATATATATATATATATTTATGGTCAGCGCCCCCCCACAACCCGCAATTCTGTATATAAAATAGGGGCGCTGGCCAGGCGGATGTTATTCTATCATCTTACTACAGCACAAAACCATGCAAAATACAGTGTAAAATAAACTTCTTGCTCCAGATTATGAACATGTCGACTTCACTACAATATATAAATACATTAATTAATCTGGCAAAACCGAATTTCGGTTTCAAAAAATCCTTGGTGAGTCCCCATATCAAATTTTTGGTGCCCATGACACCTCCGGAGTTATTGGACCCATCGACAGGCACACCAGAAAGCCAATAGCAACCAATGTCGATGGCAATGCTTTCAATACAATGTCAATACATTCCTGTTCCTATCTGAGTCCGAATCTATTCTGTAAGACACTTGTCTTTCTGGTGTTTTTTTTGCTGTGGCACATGCAGCACTCGCATGTTCAGACCTGAACGCCTATTCCCAGAGAAAGCGACAGAAGCCCAAACTGCGGGTCATGGGGGGGGCGGTGAGCATATATAATCATATACAGTATATATATATATATCGTATATATATATATATCTTTTGATGATCATTTCCATATGGATGCATACACGCTTACCCTTAGCAACATTACTAGGGATCATATCAGTCTCCGAAAGTGCACCGCGATCCGAGATCCTCATTGGATGGCCTGGGTGGACCTTTGTCAACCGCGCTCTTGTTGGCATGTCGCCATTGGATAGGTGACTTGGCGGGACCTCGGCTGGTTGTGACATAGCGAAATGGACATGGACACATTTATGGATGAGTTATGGATGATTAATAGATGATGTGCCTATCAATCATTCATAGATGATAATAGATGATTGACCTATTTATAGATGAATTTTCTAATTTCACTGTACCTATTGAACATGGTGATTTTCCATAGCTCTGTCAAATTACTAGAGGATGCTGTCTAATGGGATAAACCAATTGATTGGCAGAAGGGGAAAGGATGCCGAGTCACTGGCTTTAGGGACACCCTTTATTTTTTTTTGCACACCCAGATGGCTACACCCTACCACCCACTTGTCAGGGACAGGGACTTTCATGGACTTGTGGGGGGAAGACTATATGTGGCTGTTTAGCGAAGCATCCATACCTCCATACCATATACTTTTTGAGTCGCAGATGTTGGAGGTTTGTTGTTGGGCTACCATGTCGCCATGACTCAGGAATAGGGTGCCGCCGGTGCAACCGGTACAATGGATCAGCCCCCAACAAAGTGTGGGTTTGTTAAGGGCTTAACCACCAACAACCACAAGTAGAAGGGCGAACCTTAGCCTTCAATTGTTGGGATCACGGGTACCAACAATATCCAACTGTGATTGGGATAGAGTTGAGATATAATTTATGGGACTATACCGGATCAATGGTTCATTTTCCATGAGCGCCGTGAATAATTATCATATATATTTATATATTCCCTTAAGACAAATTCAATTGTATTAACCTCTTTAATATTTTGAAATTGACATTTGATGGGTATTTCCAGAGCCAGATATCCTCGATTTCGATTCATCACCCACGGTGAAGCGTGCTGAGATCGAGGTGCTACGGATGTGCAGCTCTTTGGCCGCGCGAAGCGATTTCTGGGGGGTCAATGGCAGATCCAAAGGGATTCCAGCTCCCACGGAGGATCCGCAATATATATAATTATATATATATGACATAATATTTATATATATATATAATCAATATAACACAGTATATATATATATGGTCATATAAATGATATATATATATATATTAATCTAAAATTCTTTTATATAAATACATTATAAGGATAATCAAATATATATATATATTTGATATATATAATTATATATATTTATATTAATATAATAAACAATATATATATATATTAATATATAACATCATGGATATATATATATATATGACATAATATATATATATATAATCAATATAAAACTATATATATATGGTCATATAAATGATATACATATATATATATATTAATTTAAAATTCTTTTATATAAATACAGTATAAGGATAATCATATATATATATATATGATATATATATAATTAAATATATATATATATTAATATAATAAATTATATATATATGATTTACTATATTTATATTTTTAAAACTACATGTATATATAAGAAATGATTTGATATATACATATATTTAATTCAATATATATATATATAAATTTATTTATATATATTTATAGAAAAATAATCTAATATATATATATATATCAAATATATATATATATATATATCAAATATATATATATATTTGATATATATATATATAGATAACTATTTTCATATAAATATATGTATAATATATAAATATAATATGTGTATATATATATATATGTATAACATATATAATCTATATAACACATAAAATATATTTAAAATATATAAAATACAATATATATATAATATGATATATATGATATATGTAATAGATATAATATAATATATATAGATATACAATAATATTTATACAATAATATATATAATATATAATATATATATATACAATATATATATATATATATATAAGACATCATATATAACATAATATATATAATATACGTATGTACAATATATCTATGAATGTATGGTCACCCCCCATGACTCGCAACTATGGATATATTATGGGGGCGCTGAAATCTGCAATGCTGTGCAACAGTACATTGCTGATACGACGCTGTGCGCAACATGTAGGGCTTCGCAAGCCCGTTGGTTAGCTTGTTCAAGTAAGGAAAATAGTATTATATATATATATATATTAATCCATATATATATATATATACGTGTATCTATCAATCTATCAATCTATCTATCCATCCATCCATGCATCCATCTATCTTATCAATCTTATCAATCTGATCTATCTTATCTATATTATCTACCTTATTCTGATCTATCTGATCTATCTGATCTATCTGATCTATATTATCTACCTTATTCTGATCTATCGTATCTATCTTGTCTATCTTATCTATCTTACCTATCTTATCTATCTTGGCTATCTTATCTATCTTGTCTATCCTATCTATCTTATCTATCTTATCTATCTTATCTATCTTATCCTCTCTATCTCTATCTCTATATCTCTATATCTCTATATCTCTATATCTCTATATCTCCATATCTCTATCTCTCTATCTCTCTATCTCTCTATCTCTCTATCTCTCTATCTCTCTATATCTCTTTCTATCTATCTATCTATCTATCTTTCTATCTATCTTTCTATCTATCTATCGATCTATCTATCTATCGATCTATCTATCTATCTAATCTAATCTAATCTAATTCTAATCTAATCTAGTCTAGTCTAATCTAATCTAATCTAATCTATCTATCTATCTACCTATCTATCTATCTATCTACCTATCTATCTATCTATCTACCTACCTATCTAATTATCTATCTGTCTGTCTGTCTGTCTATCTGTCTGTCTATCTATCTATCTATCAATCTATCTATCTATCTATCTTTCTATCTATCTTTGCATATTTTTTTCCACATATATATATATATATATGTATATATTTCTATAAATAGATTTTTATCTTTATATATCAATAATTCTATCTCTCTATATATCTATATCTATATCGATATCTATATATACACACATTTGTAGATCAGACCCATGTGTACTTAGGGCATGTTTAGGGGTTTTCCCTTTTTTCGGGCGGGGCTCCCATGGAGCAGTTGGACCCAAGGCTGGAAGGTTTGGCCTTCGTTTTGCCCGTGCTTCGTGACGCGTCGCTGTTGCTGCTGCTGAATCGCGTGCTGAGAGCTGGGCAAACTGCGGCAGAGTTGATGTGCCTTGGGGAATCAGAAGTGATTCGACCGGGCAAAATTGGGCACCCCAAGTGCAGGGTTATATGATGAGTTGATATAGGGTACTATCAATGATTGGATGGATAATTTCCCATTCGATTGATAATATTGAAAATTGACCAAATCTGCAGTTTGTTCTCAGTTTAACATTTGACCCTTACCCGAATAACCTAGCCTATTAGTAAATTCACCTTGCAAATTTTGCAATCGAATTTGAACATGGATTGGTTTCAATGGACCTTGTTAAGCTGTGGGAATTCCTTAGTTGTCGTGCCAAGGTACAGCAGTCGCATCCTCTCGACGCAAAGACGAGAACTGTGGCAAAACACCCGTGAGAGAAGAGTAATCGCTTGCCTTTTGGCGCACCTTGCTCTTCAAATGCTGCGGGTTGTTCCAGTGAACGAAGTGGTTATTGCGGTTCATTTGCATTTTTTTTCACCATAGTTGTGGGGGTTTTAATGGTTTACGCGGGGTTAGAATCTCATATAGTTGTGCCCATTAACAGCCGTTTTTTCGTTTGTAGAAGATAGCCGTGAAGTCTGGCATTGAGGCATGTCATGGATGCCCGCAATGGAGACGAACCGGTGCCATGGCCGATAGAAACCATGGTTTTGGGCAGACACCATGAGCATCTATGAAAAATGTAAAGAAACGATTGTGTTCAAACCATTCAACATTTTTTTAAACCAACTTTTCATGACAACCCCAAGGCAGCTGCCGCTGTGGAGCCCTTGGATGCTAATGCACCCTTGGCCTTTGAACGTGCCTGTGCCGAGCTCATTACTGCGGGTAGCCCAGGTGCGACCGAGCACCCAGGTGATGGTGATGGGCTTGATGTGGTGAATTACCTTTCTACTCTTTCTATTTTTTTTGGATTTGCTGAATATATATATATATATATATGTAACTTACATATAAATATATATATATATACACATAATATATACACATAAAATATATCATCAACGGATTAACTTCTGTACACACATATATACATATATATATATTTTCCATCAACTTCTGTCTGCGGCCAGGCTCAGATCTTTGGCTTGGCATGGTGAAACTTTCGGAGGAACCATCGGAGGCCTGCTGCCGGTTTTCCATGGCTTTTCCATGGTTTTCTCATCAGATATGCCATGGTTTTCCTGTTTTTTTTTTTTATGAGTTTTTCCCTTGACTGATTCGAATTCTGGGAGGAATGCCATGGAATCCCTATGAAACAACAAATGAACTAAGAAGTAGAAACAATCTAGAGATGATGCAAAGTGTACGTATGACACTTCAATGCCCTGGTGGATTCAAATTACCTTTAAGGCACTGTTCAGTTCTGACGGGTGTTGCAGCAACTCTTTATCACGATAGCCTGTCCATATATAGAGCTGTTGAGCTGTTTGATAATGTTTCAAGCATTTCTCTATCATGGTTCTGCCTGATCAATGCCGCAGAAAGCAACGCAAAGGGGATCCCGAAACCGAGTGAAGTGTAATGCTGCACCCCAGTCACTCAGCTTGAAGGAGTCAGAGAGCTCCGCATCTGAAGAGCACAGCCCGACTCGTCGAGGAACCGCTTTTTGCAGAATTTCACCATATTTTGACCATATGTCCGCCATATGTTGGCCATATGATGCCATATGTCAAGTATGCACTGAAGGCCCACAATTGGACAAGATATCACAAGATGAGTTTTCCTTGGGGCACACCTCGAGACCAATAAGCCAACAGAATGACTCCCATGCAGAGAGGGTTGATGGATTGATGGATGTCTCAGTCGCTGGAAGGACAAGCAGACATTCTCCGGCAAGAAGGCATTCTATGCGAGCCAAAGATGCTCAACTTGACAGCCATGGGCTGACCAGGAGGTGAACTATGATAAGCTGTGATGAACTATATATAATGAACTATGAACTACTGTATGATGAACTATGATGAACTATGTACCGTAGGGTCAAGCAACAACACCTGACATGGATTGACATGGTATGGCCATGCGAAGCTGCCATACAGAGAATGCTTAAGACATTGGGGATCTTGGCGAATCTTTGCAATGGCAATGCGGATGATGTCCGGCGGGGCTTCCAAGGAAGGTGGAAAAAGGTGCTACTGCCTTGTTCCGGAGCCTTGTCCCTGAGGGACGTTTGAGCTTTGCCCAGCCGCTTAGCGCAATGCTTGGAAATTAACATGACAAGCCGCCATGACACGACTTGGAACATCAATGAAATGGATGAAAGCAACCTATGAAGAAACTAGAGTCTACTTAGTAACCTTAGTAGTTGGTGGCGCAGCAATTTCCACCGCAGAAAGTATTGAAAAGTCCTGTGATACCTGCAGTTCTAGGGAAAGCTTCTAAGCTCAGAGATCCACTGATCCACAGCTAAGGTTGACTGCCAAACTGCAAGATGGAGCAGCCACTGGTTTGCCTTCGGTTGGCGCTTTGTTTTGGTGTGTGGCTACTGAATTGACCTATGGGGACCAAGATTTAGCAGCATTCCAAACATGTGATGCAAACCCACGCCCAGAATTTTATCTGAGCAAGTTGACTGCTTGAACCACAGCTGCGGACTTGATCTGCTCCGCCTTATTGGGTTGGTCAAAGGAAGTATAGAATAGGCTACTGAGGTAGGGGATATATGATAACACATACAAATATACACTTCACAGAATGATTATATATATATATTATATCCCCGTGTGAATTTTCCCTAGTAAATGCTATGACCTGGGTCCCGGAAAGTGAACCAAAAATTCACAGTGAAATTTCCAGAAACTATTTAGGAGAGAATCATGATTTTTCAATAAAAATCAAGTAAACATCTCTAGACCCAGGATCCACATTTAGTAGAGAGGTAAAATTGATATGTTAGTCGAGTCATGTTGGTCTTCAGAGACTTCGAAGATATATCAAGATTTTGCACTTCAACTTCAGCTGAACCAAGGGCCCACATTTAGTAGTGAAATTCGATCATGCATGTACATCCATTTAGTAGAGCTTGAGGCTATGCAAACCGTTTCTTCACTACAAAATGGTCACACAGCCTTCACCTTAAATTCACAGGAGGATTATATTATATATTTGCATATCATGTCGATTATTTGTTTATTTATATATATATGTATACATCTATATAAATCTATATACTATACATACATATATATATATATACATATATATATATATTATTTATAACGCCACTGGGGTGGACATCTCCATCCCCAGCACCCAGGAGAGTGAGCGTTTTTGGCAGCTGTTGGAAGCACTGGATGCACCTGTGCCTGAGCTGTTTTTGGCTGCGAGTCGGTGTCAAAATCAAAGAGCCTGCGGATCAGAGATTTTGTTTTTTTTTGGTGGTTGTTTCTTGGTACCAACATGTACTAACCATCCATTTTTTGGGATGCCCATAGTTTTTGCCTACACAAACACTGTGGATATCCCATCCATTTTAGTCCACTGTGTCGCTTGGGCCAAGGCCAACTTTAAAAGGCCTCGACCGCATCGCGCATTGTCACGTGCAAACACGGCACCGATTGATGCAGCTTGGCGAACTTCCCCAGAGGTATAACATCCCGACCATTTGCTGCTAAAGTGGGTTGGGGGTTACCAAAAAAGATAGATGTAAAGCTATCAGCCTAAAAAAATCTAACACATGAGGATGGTTAATCTTGATTTGGATGGTTTCAAATGCTTTCGTATCACTGAAAAGTGTTGCCACCGTTTTCAATGGTTTCGGGATGGGTTGGAACCACCAGCCTGTTTGTATTCCGCCAAGTTTACCCTCCAGTAATCAAACATGGCAATTGGAAGTCCTTCATTGATGGGAGATTTTCTCATTCGAACTCCCATTTATAGGGGATTTCCGTGGATTTCCCATTGCCATGTTACCGCAGGGCAACTTTCAATTCCGTTGATCTTGTCAAATCGCTGCAAGTCAAAGCTTGCAGGAAGCTTCGCCGACGCCAAAATCGCGCCGGTTGGGACATACAAAGTCCAGCGGTCACATCGAGATCAGCGTCGGTCAGGCCGGACCGCTGTTCCAAGGGCAAATGTCAAGAGCACAAGGAAGAAAAGGAACATAACTAGAGATGACCCAGAAAATGCTTATTGCCACATTTAGTGTTTTTTTGACATTGGCATCTTTTTTGTCCACCTTGGTTTTGATGGTCCACCAATTTTCCAAGGCTACCCCGTGCAACCCCTGCGACATGTAATTGTTCCACCTGGACGTTTTGGACCCACAAGACTTGCGACATTCCTCAGTGGGCAAGCGTTGCTCAACTTGGTAAGGATGCCTTTGTGCAACTGGTTGTCTCTACCTACAAAGACTCTGCACGTTTGGTATCAAATGTTGGCGAGCACTCAGCCATATTCGCGCTTCTCGGTAGGAAAGGTAGGCCTTGGGATTTTGGCGTGGCTGCCGAAGGTGTCATATCCAACACTGGTGTGTTCAGATTCACGGAATTTCACACAAGACTTTTCTCCCCTCGTCTCTAAAGAGTGTTGCAGACTACTGTAAGTCTCTCAATTTCCACCTAAACAACAGATTTTTCCAAAGCTCAATGTTTCATAACAATCCTGGATTTTTATGGATTTTTCTTGTATTTCCACAATTTGTCATGTTTTTTTCATGCATCATCAAACAGCCACATCCCCCACATTCCGCGAGGCTCTTCTGCAGCGTTCTCCGCTTGTGTCGTCTGCTGGTCGTGAGCATCGTGGCGTTGGGGCGCTTCGCCCCGGCATCGCTGATGCAGACCCTGTCCTGGCTAATCTCATCGGTTTCGTGGTGATCGAAGGGGATCCTTTTTGGGGGATCCAAGGGAATTCCCAGCAGAATCAGGGAATATAGGGAATATTTGGAGATGGAAAACCATGGAAACATCGATGATTTATTTGGAATTCATGAAGTCATGAACATCAATTTAGCCGTTCATGGATGTGCAGACCAACACCAAGCTGTACATTTTTCCATATTCGCAAGGTGGAAAGCAAACAGAGAAATGCCAGACACATTAGATTCTCCAGATTTTCAGTGAGGTTCTGTTGGCAGTTTCTTTTGCATGGGGCCCTGTACTACTGGACGTGATGCAGTCGTTGGTTTTGCTGCTTCACGTGTGTCCCTTCGACACGGGTGACCGCATCGTTTTCCGTGGCAACTCGGCTTGAGACTTTGGATCATCAACTTAGAAGAGAGTTTTCTTAATGTGACCCAGCTCCCAAAGCACCTGCAGGAAAATTAAACGATCACATTTATGTCCTGAAATTAACATAAATAAATGTTATCATTCCATTGGGATTCTAGTACCATCATCAATCTGTGCGAAGATCAATAATGTCTTTCCCGCGTCGGTTTGTCGAAAATGGAGGATTTTTCAATGGTCATCAAGTGGTGGGAAAAGCTATTCCAAACCACTGGAAAGTATAAGATTTGGGGGGGGGGTGCAAACTCAATGATATCCTCATGGCAGAACATCCGAACGATCACTGTGAGAAGGACAAGTCCTTGTCGTTGCACACATCAAGTTGCTGAACACCGTCTTTCGCGACGTCTATGATGAGGACAGCGGTCTACTGCTGTGGCAGGATGTGTAGTCGATGATGGCACTAGCAAATTCTGCAAGCAGAACAATGTCATGAACTTGCAGTTTTCTTTAAGGACTTTGACAACCTCTTGTTTCATGCTAAAAGTTTCCCTGCAACTGGACGACGTAAACATGTAGCCCTGGTGCGAAAATCGCACCAGGAAATCTACATTCGCAATGCTGCACTGTACGCGGGCGATGGCATCATCAATCTTCGCCGATCTGGGCCTGCATATGTGGCAATCACTTTGGTGATACCTTTGCACCTTGGTTTTACAAAAAGGTGTGACACTGAGCTGGAAATGATTGGGAGATATTGAAGTTTGGTGCGAGTCAAGTGGGGGTATTTATAGGACACCTGCTTGGACAACAACGACATGACGGCCAGTTCTAGGACACAAGGGTACCTTTTAGATCCGTTTTGATCCTTTCAGAGGGTTTAGTATGGTTTAGATTGAGATGGTCTTGGTTCAACACGAAAGCTGATGACGCCCCACTGCTCCTTGAACATTCTCATCTCATGAGCACAGTCTGAAGTCCACATTCAGAGCTGGTGGCAATCCCCAAACTCCGCCGATGTTGCATTGCTGGATTGGACAAAGCATGACAGAGCAAATTCAGGGAATGTGCCTCTGATTCCCCTGCCTACAGTAACAGTACAGTATATATAGATTTGTGGAAGATTGACAGTCGTCGGTCCACATGCAAAAAGGGGGTCCGTTGGGGCAGATTTGGAATGACTCTGTCACAATCATTCCACAGGCATCACACCCTGATCAGCGGCCTCTTTTTCACTGATGGTTCTTGAGCCAAAAGTCCATTCGAAGTATATTTTTTTAAATACTTTTTATAGCCTGAACTGGACGGCTGGAATGCAACTCACTCTAATCTATTAAGTAGCTGTTAAAGTCACAGAACATAGCAAATTGAATTCCTAGGGAGGCCTCTATGAGGTTGCCCACTATAAAGGTCTGTTGGGGATATTATGTCCATTCTCTGGGTTTATTCTTCTCCCCAGGAAATTTGCCAAGAAGGAGATCTTCAAAGCCTTGACGGTAGCAGCGAAGATACTTGGCTGAACGCTCCGGCTGGCCTGTGCCACCTTCTTTTGCCCTGTAAAGCTGCTGCATCTCGCACTCTATTTCCCTCAATGCTTGTCAATCTTCATGGGGGTGCTGTGTAAGCCCTTCGCAACGCTATGAGACTTGCGTATCAATGAGGGCTTGAGCCTTGCAGCATGATGTCATGTCCAGTCCCACAAAAACAACGAATTCAACCATCGATGAGGAGTCCGGATTCTGGAGCAGAATCTTTTGAAAGGATGCATTTGGGGGCTTTTTGATATATCTACATCTACATCTGACATAATTCTTTATCTATCTATCTGTATATATTATATATATATATATTACCAGTGTATCTCTATACATACATGCATATTCTGGAGCAGGGACATCCATATTCCACAGCCACGACATCCATGCCGCACCAGGAACTATGCGATGTCGCATCAGGAGACATGGCGGGAACAAATCACCTGTGCCTGGGATGGAGTATAAGGGATGATGGATGATAGATGAGTGATGATGATGAATAATAGAATGAAACATGATGATCCAGAATAGTTGGTGATGGCGATGTTGATGTCGATGTCGATGTTGTTGTGGTTGTTGTTGTTGATGATGATGATGAGGATGATGATAACGATGGTGATGATGATGATGATGGTGATGATGTTGATGATGATGACGATGACGATGATGATGATGATGGTGGTGATGATGTTGATGATGATGACGATGACGATGATGATGGTGATGATGATGATGATGATGATGATGATGATGATGATGATGAGGACGACGATGACGATGATGATGACGATGACAATGACGATGATGATGATGATGATGATGACGACGACGACGACGACATGCATGGATATATATAATGATAATGGACTATATATATATCATATGCATAGATGACATGACGATATATATGGATTCTGGATGGATGGCCAGGTTTTCAGTGGATATCCCCTCTGGCCCTATGGGAGATCGTTTTTCCCAGCGCCAGGTGGATTTTTTCCCACAGAGCAAGGCGCTGGCGGCGTGGAGGTTCATATGGAGTCCTTCCCCTCGCAAGCCTTGCGCTGGCGGGTTGGGGTTTCGCATCAACTCTCCAAACTTCATTCAGCACAGGCGCAGCTGTGGGATGGTATCGGGTACCCTGTTTTTTTGAGCAAACCACTAGGAATCGGACACGAAGTTTTTTTGTGAAATTTCCACAGGTTTTGGGCTGACATATCTTGGCTCAACCATTGTTCCATCGGTTCGTGTTTTTTTCGTTTTGCCATCAGTGAAAACTTTTCTCTTTGCACGCAAGTTGACGTATCATTTTTTTTGTGACATGTATACTGTACGTATTTGTACGTATATGTAGTCCACCCATTTTTTTCCTCAACTAATTTCAGGAAACAAATACGCGGATTACAGATACGTACAGATACGTGTGGAATAAATAGACAAATGATGACAAATGATGACAAATGAACAAATAAGTAAATGGAATTGGCATCAATTTGATCCATCTATCACTGAAGCGGCCTTGCTTGGAGGTCAGAAGTGATGCCTCACTGTTTCTGACCGAACTCATTGAGGAAGCTGCGAAGTTGGGCATTGAATGGCCAAGTTCTCTGCAGCCTGGGACCATCGAGGAACCTGCGTAGAAAACGGCGCAAAGCGTCGAAATGGGGATGGGTCAAAAGGTCAAGCCCTTTGAAATTCCCACGTGAGTAAGTGTTTCTTTTTACTCTATTTTCCATATTTTCCATATGATGGGGAAACCCAGAGTACTGATTGGATTGTGACCCATACCCAAATCTTCCCAAATCGTAGTCAGGCGTCTGAGCAAATCTCAGTGCCTCTCGGATCGTCCAACAGTGACGTGCCGAGCTCCTAGGTCAAGTGTGGAAAATTGACAGCGACAGCTGGTTGACGAGGGTTAGACACTGACCAGCATTACGAAGTGGATGGGTTGCTGATTTATCGAAAATTTATGAGAATTTAGCCATATAACTTTGAAGCATATTTATTGACACATGTTGAATCATTACCCATAGGATCCATGTATGCTATATATGGTAACATTTACCATCAATATACCCCTAATGTTGGCATATATACCATACATGGATCCTATGGGTTATGATGTCAAGGATTTAGTGTCAGCTTTTTCCTATGTCTTGATATTTTTTGATCATCCCTCCTTCCCTCCTTCCAAATGAACCAGGAGCAGTGCCCGGCCATTTTCTCCGAGGCAGGATTTGGCCATTGATCCTATCTGGCATTGGAAAGTGCACCATCCGCAAAAACACCACCAATATTATACAACATTTGGATATATCAATATATATATATATATATCATATATCTGGCACAATTTTGGCAGAAAAACAAATAAAGATGATGAACAATGAAGAGGAGCAGTTTGCCAAATGCCTTTTGGAGCCCAGCCTGAAACAAGATGACCATGGAGAACAGACAGGAAACGGCAACGGCATGACTTTTTCTTCGATTTGCCAGATCGATGTGAGAAGATGCACCAAGGATGCGCCAGATTCTCAGGAATTGCCAAGGGACTGCCAGTTGGAGGTGATCGTCATAGGGAATTGTCAGGTGCCTTCGAGCTTTTACGCCCATAAGGTCCCGACCTGCAGTGATCTCGGTGTTGCAACGGTACCCAACTGTGCTGCTCTACTGTGTGGGCGGTGTGTAGTTGGGGAGGTTTCGAAGGAAATATACCTGGGATAGCACGACCTCTTGCTGCAGACTTGCCATCCCACGGTTGAATCAAGAGAGCCCCTTGGACAGAGGCACACGGGCAGCTTTGTAAAACTGCAAGAATATAGGTTTGTCAAAAAAAGGGGTGGCTCAAAAATCGAGAGGTTTTGAAAACTATTCTCCCTTTACAATTTGTTGTTTTGGGGTATGCCCCACTGCCCCACTTAGTCACTAATCCCACGGTTTATCAGCGTATCATCATGTTCACCATTTTTCTTGGCCATAAAAAGACAAGCCAAACTGGTAATAAAATGCCTCGAAATGGCCATGACTGACATAGCCATAAACTGGCAATCAAACATCATAAATAAACCATGTTTTTCCATTATTTCGATGATTTCCAATTATTTTTCATTATTTCCACCGACTAATGTCTGCCTCTGATTTATAAACCTGGCCCCCCCCCCCTGAATTACCTCAAATACAGTTAAAATCACCATCAAAACTTGTTTGTATGTGAAGGTTTTCAATTACCACAATTTAAAACGAATACATAAAATGCAATTTCCAAAAAAAACAGGAATCCAACAATTGTTTTAGTATTGGTTTAGTATTCATCTCATGGATTTAGTATTGATTTAGTATTCATGTCATGGATTTAGTATTGATTTAGTATTCATGTCATGGATTTAGTATTGATTTAGTATTCATGTCATGGATTTAGTATTGATCTAGTACTCATCTCATGGATTTAGTATTGATCTAGTATTCATGTCATGGATTTAGTATTGATTTAGTATTCATTTCATGGATTTAGTATTGATTTAGTATTGATTTAGTATTCATGTCATGGATTTAGTATTGATCTAGTCTTCATGTCATGGATTTAGTATTGATTTAGTATTCATGTCATGGATCTAGTATTGATTTAGTATTCATTTCATGGATTTAGTATTGATTTAGTATTGATTTAGTATTGATTTAGTATTCATTTCATGAATTTAGTATTGATTTAGTATCTGGGTTTAGGGCCAAAAACATTTAGCTTTATTCAGGGTCAAACTCTAATAAGTGCCAAGGCACCTCATGGGGGGTACCCTTGACGAGTTGATTTGGGATTGATTTTGGATAATTTTGAATAAAGGTTGTGAATAGAAACGAACAACCATTATTTTTGAAAATTTGAAGTTATCAAGGTAAGATCTAATGAGCTGGCAATATGAATTAGTACATGAAAGCCACCTCAAATAAAGCATTGACATTTTTTTTCAGCCCCATCTGGGCAAATCTGGGGTTGGGGGCAAAATTTTTTAGTTTTATTTAGGGGTAGTTTATTATTTAGTTTGAGGGTTTGGTTAGCTTTATTCAGGGGTAGTTTACAAATCGTAGGTCAACATTATTGATTCTATCATATATATATAAATTATATATAATTATATATATATAAATTATATATAATTATATATATATATAAATTATATATAATTATATATATATATAAATTATATATATATATATGTTCTATGGCCATCAAAATTGGTGGCCCAGCGACTTCGGAAATCGCCAGGTATGCAGCTGCGAAATCGCCGCCAGAGGCGGTTGAGGGACTGCGAAACCTCGCTGCCGAGGACAGAGGACTTGGACTTGGAGGACTTGGCCCCCTTACTTTACTTGGGATGTTTGGTACACAGCTACATAACATGTTAGATTACACATCTATAATTATATATTTAAATCTGTATAGCTTTATGCAGTTCATTGATACATCATATTATTTATGTATACGTATATGTACATTACATTATGTGGTCAACCAGTTTACCCCTCCAGCAGTCAGCCAGCAGACACAGCTAGCAACCTAATATGCAATCCCATCCCCCTAATATAAAACAACCCTGTTCTATGGTCCCAAATATGTGTAAATTCACCAGTTTTTATCATTGTTTCTGGGGGATGTTTAATCTTAGGGGGATGGGATAATGTGTATATATAATTATATATATATAGCGATATAAATAGTTGATTACATACATCATTATACAGACAGACAGACAGACAGACAGACAGACGGACGGACGGACAGACAGACAGACAGACAGACAGACATAAATACATACATACATACATTACATTACATTACATTACATTACATTACATTACATTACATTACATTACATTACATTACATTACATTACATTACATTACATTACATTACATTACATTACATTACATACATACATACATACATACATACGAGGGAACTCCATCCAGCAGGTATGGTGCATAAATATTATGTATAGATCCCCCTTGCCATTTCCTCCACAGATCGAGGGGGGTTGGGGTGCCTATATGGCATAATTTTACGGGAAGTGTTGGCCTTATATGGGGTCGAGCATGCCATTTGTAGTAATTTGTGGGTTTTACATGGTTTTATAATTTTTATTTTGAAGGCATGATCATTTATGGGCACCAAGACAAACCATTTTGTAACAAACAAAAAACCATTTTGTAGATGCTTTTAAGGTTATGATTTGGTGCTTTTAAAAAATGTGAGTTAGTCATTGACAAAGAAAAATCAGCTAGCCATTCTGTAGAGAAACCATCGTTTCAATAAATGTACCATTTTGTAAGTGCATATTTGTGTTTGCAATGGTTGGCTCGGAAACACTTTAGGACATTTCAATTTCCCCGCCGTCCCAGTAACCCACCATGTTACACAGTCTCCATCCTACAAAATGGTCTGTCTATAACCCATGGGGATCCCCGTTGACATTTCCCATTTAAAATGGTAGTCCCTGGGCCCCCTATAAATCAGATTTTATGTTTTTTTTTGCCGTCGGGGCACTCCATTTTGTAGAAAGAGACCTGTTTATACACACCCAACATCACTTTATATGAGAACAAGATCATATGCCAGTGTCAGGCACCTCCATTTTGTAGAAGATTTGGAATACCATTTTGTAGATGGGTAAGGGGAGTTGATAAATACATCCAGAGGGAAAAAAGGCCGCCAGAAACCTATGGAAACCTTAGTATGTCTCCCACCCGCCCATCAACTTCAAGTATTTTGGGCTAACATAATGTCCAAAAAACATCTGAAAAATGGGAAAGCTAGATGTTTTTTTAATGACTTTCAAGGGCCCTCCAGAACCATCCAGAACAAACAATCTGTCTACAAAATGGAAGGGCGCCATCACATCCACAAGCATGTTCATGATACTCTGGCACTACCATTTTGTAGCTGGTTCATGCTGGTTCAAGACATATTTTGTAATAATCTCGAGTGCCAAGCTACATGGGTTTGTTGGAGGGGATTGTGGTGGCTGCCTTTGCAATAGGCTTGGCAATGGGGATCCTACTTAGAAAGTGTGTCTGCCGACCATGTGGATTTTGTGGTGGAGATGATCGCAAAGTTTTCAAAGCCTCCAAAATTTTGAAACCGGCCCCGGTCCAGAAAAAAAAAGCGATGACCACTACTTCGGTCCAGTCTATCTGACTACTTCTGTTGGACGATACTTTATGAAACCCGATTGCCAGATGCACAAGATGCAAAAATTTGAGATATGCAAGGATTGCTTGAGAGATTTTAAGAAGAAATTTCATTCAGAGTAAACGGTCTACAAATTGGTCGCCCAAAAAAGACCAGGGTGCGACCACAGGGTTGCTTTGTGTCTTACAAAATGGTTCTCCCATTTTTCACAGTTTTTTTGGACACTATGTTAACCCAAAATACTTGATGTTGGTGTGCAGGTGGGGTACCCTGGGGCCACCATTTTGTAGGCAGCAACCCCCATGGGTGCTACCATTTTGTAGGTGTCCCCATACCATTTTGTAGGGGGGTAGGCTGGGCACCCTACACTTTGGTAGGCCCAACCTCTCGGGGCGAATTTCAAGGGGGATCCATGGGGTATGTTTTTTCTAGAAAATGGTTAGGCCTGCTGCCTAGAGTCGACCATTTTGTAGACTGGTGTAGGTCTGAAGATAGACCCTGTTTTTATGATTGTGTTGAAAAGAGCAGTGGCAAAGAATTGTGATTGAATTTGTTCCTTCTGGATCCTTCTGGATCTTCTCGGATTCTTCAGCCTTATCCAAACTTCGATACCGATTGTTCCCTGGAAGATCTGTGTCAAAATAGCATTCTTCTCCTGATCTTCGTTTTTGCTCTGGGACCGTTTTTGAGACTGGAACATACTGGAACCGGAAAAAACTTCCATCTTCAGAAGGATTGCCAGCACATTGTTGGCAAAAAAATTGAAAAATATTCATGCTGCAAAAGTTGCATGAAAAAAAAAAGGATCCACCTCCGAAAAGGAGGAGTGAAGACGACTAGAAGGTAAAAACCCTACAAAATGGCACCGGGAAAAAGGCAGTTGACGCTGAGGTCTTGACAAGATAGAGGCTCTACAAAATGGCTCTGGGATTTTTATATGTTTTATAAAATCATGAATGCACTGGTTTGATCATTTTTTGACAAAATTGTCAAAATATTTGTGGATCAAAACAGGTGACAGGCACTACCATTTTGTAGAGCCATGGGTTATAGACAGACCATTTTGTAGGATGGAGACTGTGTACCAGAACCATTTTGTAGAGACAGGGGTTGGTTCACTACAAAATGGGGCCCCCCAACCCCCCCCAGGGAATGGGAAGGAGGATATGTATAGAGTTTACGCATTTTAAGTTTGTTCGATTGACTGCCATGGAAGGACGCCGCTGCCGCGGCGCAGCTTTGCGCAGACAAGATCGCAGCACTGCCAAGTGACGCAGTAGTTACCTCAAACACAAAACACCTTGGCGGACCACGGAGAATGTCACAGATGAATCACATGTATACAATCTGAGTTATATAATATTATATATACAGGATCACTGGATCACATGTATAATTATTGCAATTATGTATTAGATATTTGCATGTGTTCAGTACTTTTCTTTTACCTTTGAGGGCCCCAATTCCGGGTGGTAAGCCTGTGAGGGGATGTCGGTTATCATCCAAGTGATTGGTCATTTTCAATGTTGAAACCACCGGAAAATTGGAGGTTTCATTAGTTATTGGAGCTTTTCAATGCTTATTTTCAATGGTTATTTTCAATGCTTATTTTCAATAGTTACTTATTTTCAATAGTTATTGGAGCTTTTAAATGGTTATTTTCAATGTTACAACTGTTATTGGTACCACAATGGATTGAGAAACCGCCAAGAAGTGGAGGTTTTGGACCATGCCCGGGATCTCGTTGCGGCTCTCTTGGATGCCATTCGCCAGCTCGCTCAGCAATCATTCCACTGATCAACCGCACCCTCTAAGATTGATAAATCAGATTGGAACCTCCCAATATTATTAACATTCTAGTAACTAGTACTAATGGAATAAAACTCACATTGATCCAATAGTATTCCAATAGTACTAGTAGCAACTGATATTCCTACTTATTGCTTATTATATATATATATATATTATTCGATAAAAACAACGCCGGAGAGCCGAGAGCTAGTTTGCGGCTCAAAGTGGATCTGAGAGCTATGTTTATTAGCACAAAAAAAGGTGCAGCTTTGTTGGTGAACGACTGGTACCTGGTCACACATTGTTGATATCCCCAGCTGGTGAGGCCTGGAGAAGTTACCAGAGCTATCGAAAGTGCTGGAGCTGTTTTTGCAGAGGACCGGGCAGTGCTGTGAAATGCTGGGGATTTAACCAGTAACAAATGGGGAGTTTATGTTACCAAATATGATTTCACAGCCCACATCATATTCCAAAGCACTAGGAATTTCTAGATTTGTTCATTGATGATTCATCATATGATCTAACGATATCTAACGCATATTTTCCTGGCTTGAAAGGTGTTGGGGAATCCTTTTCAAGTGTCTTTGATGGGATGCATTGACAAACCACAGCAAGCCTTCCTGAGTCTCCAATCAGCTCTTTGATATTCATTCATACAGGGTGCCGCCCCCAAACGATAGCAAAGTTGGTATATAAGTAGGTGAACTAAATTGTTTATGGTACAGCATATCGAGATAGATCCTGGAGTCTCCACGGGGTGAACTTCGGTGAACAAACAAACATAATCGGGGGGGCTCAAATCCCATTATCCATTTGTATAAATCAATTATAAATCCCATGTTTTCTCCCATGAAATCCCATGAACCTTCTCTCCGGGGCCACCTCAGTGGTGAAGGACACAGTCTTGGCGTTCTGGAGAAGACAAGTCTCAGCAGGCGATAGTAGAATATAGGAGAACTCTCATCATTTAAACATGGGCTATTAGCAAAAATATAGGGATTACATGGTAAACTATGGTCAAATTCAAATGGTGGTTAATGATGGTTGAATAATGATATATTAATCTTTAAATATAGGGATTACATATATCAATGATGGTTAATATACATATATACATATATCATTGCGTGATGCAGTGGCAGCGGGCTCAGCAGATCACTCCTATTTTCTACCTGTGGCGCAAGTGCCATTCGGCGATCCCCAGCTTGAGCCACCATATGGTGACAGGAAGTTTGATCAATGACCTATGCCCAATTCGCACCGGTCATACTTTATGTTGATCAAACTTAGAAAATAAATAGCACCTCATGACGAGATGTTCTTTCGAGGAGTTTCCTCTGAAGGGCTGAACCCTCTTCCAAAATGCTCCATTGGCCAGTTCTCATGACATGTCGTAGGAGATCTGCTTTGCTTTCTTTGGTGAGGCTATCAGCCAACATGGTACGACCATCAATCCATCTAATCGTGCCATTGAGCTCAGCGATCTCTTGTTTGATCAAGGAGATGTCAATCGAAGTACGCTTATCTTCACATTGTGATGCAGGATTGGTGCATTTGCAAATTGTATCATACAATGACTTAGAGTCAGTGACACAAATGAATGGAAGTTGAGCTACTTCGCGATGCCATTCTCGAGCTGACAGATGGAGACCACGAGCTTCTAGGATGAGAACTCGGTACCAATGAACTGAGCTCAACCCACGGACCAAGGCCTGTGTCTCAGAGCTCAAAGTGTTGACTGTTCGTCGCTTCAATCTGTAGCTTTTCCAGGACGCCAAAGAGACATTCTGGAGGGTCTGGGACTTCGGCAGGTCCTTGTCATAGAAGATGACAATCTCGCCACCCTGGCTGAAGAGCTTATTCAGCTGGTCGTAACCGGCATGAATGTCCTTGGCGTCAAGAAGGTTGCCCTCGGTCTGCTTGTAGAAAGTCGTTCTTCCGGTCCAAGGTGTTGATGACATAGATCTGATGCTATCGCTAGTGGTCCACATGTCCTGGACGGAGGTGCTTCTCTGAGAATTTCTAATCTCAGTATGACGATCTGGTAAAAGCTGGTGAAGGTCTGGTCCATCAGCACAGGCTGCTGCATGAAACCCTGTCGTCCGCGCATCAACATGGTGATGAATCCAAGATTGGTCCGTTTCCTCCCACCAGTCGTTGGTGGCGCTGGTCTCAAGATATGATCCAAATTCCTTGGAGTTCCCCCACGATGCGTCAGTCACCACACCAGCATGAAGTCGATCAAGAGGAATAGGCATCACTCGAATGCCAAGCTCCTTGAAGTCCAACGCTTCTTTCGCAATCTGGTTCGCATTGATAAGGTCGCGTATCAAAGGTCGGGGAAATGACTGCTGAATCAGCGCAGTTTTACCTGCAAGATCACAACGAGTCTCCTTTGATAACCATGATAGCGTTCCAACCAAGGCACGGAGTTGTTCAATTTCTTCAGGTGTACACACAGAGAATCTTTTCCGTTTTCGATCTCTGGAGATCTGAATCGGAGCAACTCGTGCTTCAGTATAAAATTGCTGATCCAAAGTGATTGAACCATCTGAAAGAAGAGTGACTTGTTTGCCGACAAACCGTCCTTCACGCCATGTAAACTTACCCAACTTGTAATGTTGCTTGACCTTTTCCATCAACATTGCATGACGATGGGTACCACCATGAAATAAATCATCAGTTGCCAAGGCTATAATACCCTCAATCTGAGAATTTCCATCTGAGTCAGTTGGTGAATCCAAAAAGAAAAGGCATGGATCAACTACTGATTGCCGATACCCCAGTTCGTTGCAAATAAATTCACAATATGTTTGAACCAGGCATAAGGACCATCAGTGAGTCCATAACACGTCTTCTTCAACCGAAGAAGCTGGCCTCGTTCTGCATTAGGAAGTCCTTCTGCAGGTTGTTCCGCATAAAGCTCCCGGTCAATCGGATCACCAGAATGAAATGCTTGTGTAAAATCTGCAAAACCAGGAATCCAACGCATGCTAGCCATGACTTGAGCAGCAAAAATGACAGAATCTCGATGCACCTGAGGAGTGCTCGTCTCTAAGTCAAGGAGTGCCGCCTCTGAGTAGCCCTGCATGACATGGCGACACTTCGCCTTCGCAGGTTGATCTGGTTCAGATGAATCCAGCACCTCATTCGCTGAGATGGCATCTTCAAGGGCAAAGTCCTCAATGGGCTTCTTTGTGAGAACATAGCGAGACTTCATAATCTTCTCCGGGTTCTGTGCTCGAACTAGTGCTGATTCCTGTGGAGAAAGGAGTTCATATGCACCCAGGTTGTTGTTGAACTCCTTCTGAATGGCTCGCATGAGTCGCTCTCGATCTCGGCCTTGAAAGTCTTTGGTGGTTGCTTCTTTTCCCTTTCTTTGTCTGGTGGCCGACTTGTTGGAGATAGTAGTGAAGTAGATCTCCAACAATTCAAGCCTGGTGCGCTTGGAAGCTGGCAACTCCTCCCAAGCACCCTCTGGTTGAAGAACTTCATCAAAGACCCGCTTGCGGTCATCAGGAGTAGATTCTTCGCCAGAGGCATCCATTGGAGTCAAAGGTGTTGATTCTGAAGCTTCTGGTTCAGGAGGAACTGGTTGTTCAGGTTCAGGAGCAGGAAGTCCCGGTGGAGCCTCAATCTCTGGGGTCCTCGTAGAAGGGATTACCACTGCTGGTTGCTCAGGTTTAGCCATAGGAGCTTGTGACAGTGGAATCATCTGCTCTGGATCAATCTTGGCTTTCTGAGTGATCCGAGCTCTGGGTACCAGCGGATCTGCTGGTCGCTTGAGATGCTCTCGTGATTCAGGTGCAGGTTTCTCCTCAAACCATGTCTCTCCAGTCCATTCATGTCCATGGCTAGGAAAGTCCTGTCCATGGATCCATTCATCTTCAAGAATCTCCTGCTCGCCATCAGTGATGGCCATGATTGTCTTTCTCCACGGCAGCAATTGGTCCAAATGAACTGGTAGTTTGGAGAGATCATGATCAGGGCGAAATAGTTCTCGTCGTGGAAGTTCATGGACCCGAATCCAGAAGTTGCCTTCTCGGCGCCAAGAATCTTGTTGTTCTGTAGGAGGTAGGTCATCATTTTCTTGAGATAGGTCAATCATGCCCTTGATCTTATCTGTCTCAAACTGTTTCTTGGCGTTTGAGATACCTTCAAGCCACCCAGAGATAGAGTAGAACTCTTCCTCGGACGCTGGACGAAGTTTTTCTGGTGATGCCTTGACCAAGTGGTGGTTGTAGGAAAGCCACACAGTGGTTGGCAACTGTGTTGCAACTACCCTGGCTGGACCATGCCAAAAGTAAATGGCTGGTTTCCTGGCTGCATCTGTGCCTCTTCGCCAGAAATACACGGCTTGACCAGTCTCATAGGCAAAATGAGGTCGAGGACCATGGGTAGCTGCAGCTCGAACCGCTTGTTGGCAATCAACTTCATGAAATGCCTGTGAGGCCGCTTTTCGAATCATCATTGCCCTGGTGACGCCAGTGTCACCTGCGGCTGCCAAACTTTGTACTGCAAGATCATCTTCACCATCCGACATTAGTCCACCAGGGATACGTTGTTGGTATCCAAAAACTCGTTGAGCCGGAGAATAGCCTCCCCGAGTGGATAATCTGTTCTTGGTACTGCAGGCCAAATCAATAGTTTGGTACCACTCATCCCATGTGGAGCACTTTGTCTGTTCAATCGTCTTGTAGAAGACGTCCTTGAAGAGTTGGCCGTGTCGTTCCACAAATCCTCGTTGCTCTGGTGTCTCCAAGGACGATGGAAGAAGCTCACTGCCATCAGCTTCAGCCAACGTCTCAAATTGTTTTTGAAATGCACGGCCAAGATCGCAAAGAAGTTTGCGAGGAGCTCCAAAAATCTTCAGCCACAGTCGATATCCAGCTCGTGTAGCTTCGGCAGTGTGTCCCGTCAATGGGACCACCAGCTGGAAATGACTGCTGTAGTCCACAATGTTGATGCAGTACTTGGTCTTGTTTGAGAAGGGAGCTCTCAATTGGATGGTGTCAATCCCCACAATCTCGTTCAAACCAATCTCCTTCGGAGGTGCGGCCGCCCTCGAAGGCCGGGGAAGTCGGAACTTTTCACACACTGAGCATTTCAGTGATTTTGCAATCTCCATCACCTTGGAACTAGCCTTGCTGTTGGCGAGGATACGAAGGAATCTCTCCTTGCCCGGATGTCCTAGACCATCATGGGCACGTTTCACAAGGGCCTCTAGTGACAGTGGATGAGTTCCTGGGAAGTTCTCCTTGGGCTCCATCTCTTCGTCCAAGGGGTAGATCTCCGTGATCTGGTCGTTGGTCAGTTTGTAGATTTCCTCAGGTTGTTGGACCAATCCACTCATCACCATGTTGTTCTCAAAAGAGGCATCAAACTGCAGCATCTTGGAGCCTTCAATCATGTAGAGCAAGTTGTGGGCAATGCCGATGGAGATGGCATAGGCAAGCAAGATGGCATTCACAAGGCCTGGAGGATATTTCTGAGCCAAGCGAGATCGATTCATTGGTGAGCCACGATCGCGCCCCATGACGAGCTCGTGTTGGTGCGAACGGTCGCACGTCGAATTGAGATGTTGGGCAATGGTCAAATTGTTTGTCAAAAATCCAGAACGTTTTCTCATGAACCCACCTTGATCAGTAGTAAGACCAAACATGCATTGATCCAACCGAGCCAAATGAAAATCTTGATGATTGTAAACCTGTTGTAAACATGTTTCTTCCCATGAACTGGCTGACCATGGATGTTCAAAAACGACACTCAAGCCCAGACTATTGCAAAGTAAACATAGTTCAGCACAAAACTTCAATAGTTTCCGGGCTTTGCGAAGTTCCCGGATGTGCTCATCGAACTTCTGTGGATTGGATTGCCATTTTGGCCAGCACAAATTCAAAAGTCTGCTAAATTTGGTGCAAGGAGGAGAAACAACCACAAGACCCGGTCTTTCCGTTTTCAAATATGAAATGACTGTTCTTTGATGTCTGACATCCAAAAGATCCCATCCCAACTCAAGGTCAAAAGCTTGTCCAGCCCGTAATCCAAAATGATCAGTGTTGGGGCCAAACCTGTTGGGATTGCAAACTTCAGCCACGGTCTTCAATTGTTTTGGCTGCAGCAAGTACATCTCAGATAAATGTTTCATACCAGGCTGCTTGTTCTGAAATATGGTACGCATCACTTTGCATGTTGTTTGCAATTGAAGATCATCATCAGTTTCAGAAGTCTCACAAAATAGTCTGTGAATTTCCAACCAACAGTTCTCAGAACGTTTGAGGCAGCCATAAATATGGCGTCGTAATCCGGCTCTCAATGCCTGTTCTGGTGCTGAAATGTCGGGCTCGACGAACTGTCCTCGTTCACCTCCTTCATGCGACGCCAGTTCAGGAACTCCTGGTACTCCTCGCGAGCAGCTTGTCGTTGACTGCTGCTCTGTCCTCCCTGTGTCGGCATTGGTGGAATGACCGACTCGGCAGTCATCGAAGATCGGGATGGACTGCTGGAGCGGCGGTTCGACGCCTTCTTGGTGTAGTGGGCCAAGGGCTTCTGCTCGTGGCGAAGTATCTTGCCGCAATCCTTGCAGGTCTCCTTGAGGACGTACCCGTTGGTTCCATCGCGGGTCACATTCTTGTGAGGGCACATCTCTTGCAATCTTTTGCGCATGTACTCCTCGGTGGTATCCGGAACTGGAGGATGTAGAGGTTGATAGGTCAGCCATCGAAAGAATGCACATTGTTGGGTTCGTGGCTGGCTGCACCTCCAGAAAAGTCGGTCCGGATTCTTCTCGGTCTTCGAGACCCACAGAATGCAAGGCTTGTTGCATGAGCACATGGGCGTCTCCTTGTTCACATCGAGATCCTTCGGGATGTCCCACATGCTGGCTTGATGACTTTCCGGTGTCGCCGGGATCTGGGCATATGTAGATGTCTCCATTCTGGTGGGTCTTGTTGGAGTCCGTGGAGGATCCCTTTCGGTCACCCGAGACCAGCCTGAAGGCGTTGGAGACCTGGAACTGCTCAGCCGCTTCATGGCTTCTCGATTGTGCCATTCTTCGGTGAGGGCCGACATCGCCTTCTCCAGCTGCTTGTCGTCCAAGAGCTCTGCCATCTCCTGGATCTGCCGGGTCATCAAACCATAGGGGCCCGGCATCTTGAGTTTCATGTGGACCTTGTGGCAGATGGCCTTGTTCATGATCATGATGATCTTCAGGACCAGCCGCACCCAAGCCTGAAGAGTTGGACGACTGTCCACCTCGGTTCGGCCGCGCTTCACTCGCGTGCCATGCATGTTTGAGAGGTACGCAAGGGCTTGCTCCACGGGCCGGAGTCTTCTCGAATTGAGAGCTGGAGACACTGCCGGCATGTTCATGTTCATCAAGGTGTCCACCAACGTGATGAGTTTGCAAAAGTTCATACTCATCCGATGTCTTCGGAATACGTTGTGATAAAAATGAAATCATATCGCTTGTAAATTGTTGAATAGGAATCCTCAAAGCTCCAGTAGGACCCAAATGGCATGGTACACTGAAACCCAAATGTTGTGAAACCAAACGCAATCCACGCTGCTCATCCAAACACAATGTTGCTTTGCAATGTAGTAGAAATGGAAGTGAAAGAAGTAGTGGTGCGTCTGCACTGGATTGTTCTTCAAAAAGTGCTGGTCTCGGAATACATCCACGTGGTCCCAAACTGCTTGGAATACAGGCTAACCGTGTAGTACATGAAACTTGATGAACACTTCGAAACTGATGCAATTCCTTACAAAAAGTAATAGGAAGTTCAGAAGGCTGAGATCGTTGCAATAAATTGAGAGTATTCAAACCAATCGCCATTCTTTGACAACCAGTGTCCAAAGTTGCACATCCTGAATCATTACATGTTTGCATGTGAAAACAATGAAAAATTGACGGCCGCTCCTTGTAATACCATTCAGATTCGCCAATCTACACGTCGAGTCCTGAGGCTCGTGATGAAACTGGGCACCTTCATCAGAAAAAGTGGAAGGCTGTTGTTCCTGTTCAGAAGTGCCAGCTGATTCTAAATAGAAAAACTCACTCTCAGCGAGGGGAAGATGTTCCTCCAAGAAGTTCATCTCCTTGGTCTTGGGCTTCAAAGGATCGCTTTTGGAGTGATCGCCGCGCTTCTTCGACTTGGTGGGGCACTCACGGGCCCAATGGCCTGTAAGGCCACATGCATTGCAACGAGTTCGCTTCTTCAGCTCAGAGATCGAGACCTCATAAGTGCCAGGACGCAAAATGCCATCCCTGCCAGCTCCAAAGCCTCTTGCCAAGTCACGGTTCTTCTTGGCTTTCATGGCTCCAGAGTATGATCTGCCCTTGGAGCGATGGTCTTTGACCATGGTCATGAGGATCTCCTTGGTCTCCGACTCCGTGAGGATAACTGGGTCATTCTCATGGGCGTTCTCGGGGTCCTCCAAGTCAGCAAGAGTTGCTAGAAGTAGCTCTGCAGGCTCATCTTCCGACTCATTCTCTGTCTCCGGAACGTCGACATACTGAATCTCCTTGGCGGTCTCCTTATCCAGAAGATAGGTGTTGGTCTTCTTCTTGTCATTGCCAAGGTTCGAGAGGTCCAAGTCGGTCTCATGAATCCGAAGCCATTCTTTGACGTCCCAGACCTTCAGGGAGCCCTTCGTGAAGTTGAGAAGCAACTTCGTCTTCTCGGAGTCCAACTGCAGCGCATTCACCATGAGGAAACCCAGGAAATCTGCAGGCAACTTGACATCATGTTCCCTCGCCGTGTCCCACCGCGTCATGAACTGACGCGCTGCTTCACCACGCTGTCGCTTCAAGTGGAAAGTCAAACGGGCACAGGCTGCTAACATGGATTCCCTTTTCTCTTCCCCATAGTATTCTTTGGTGTCCATAAGTTCCAACAGCTTGTTTCCGTTGTTGGGGTCATCTAACCAATCTTCATCACTGGCCAGAAATTTCAAATCTTCCCAAGGCCCTTTTGACAAATTCTTCAACAGCAACTGACCACGGGCCCTAGCAGGAGTCCTTGTAGTTCGAAGCCAGATGCGAGCTTTCAGCTTGTAGTCCTTGAACTCCGTGGTGATGCCATCCCACTCAGGTGGTGGACCAGCCGTAGTTCGCTCGTGTTCATCTCGAGCGGCTTGTAGTAGGGCTCCATCAGAACCTCCTTGATGTCCAGCAAAAAGACCTGGTAGTCCAGCTCCAGGACGCGAACGCCATTGAAGAAACTGCATGAACTCTGACTCTAGTCCAGGTGCTCGAACGTCATGACCTCGATCACGGCCAGCAGACCACGGGTCCTGTCGTTCCCATGGATCACGACCAAGCGACGAATCTGACCGTTGACCAGCCGATCTACGTCCTGCTGACCCAGGTGTCGGTGGGTCACGACCTACAGCACTAGGTCCATCTCCATTGGGTTCTTCTGAGCTCTCATCCCTCGGCAAGGGGACCTCTTCCGCCATGTGACAGCACCGAGGCAAGAAATTCCCTGGATCGTTGCCAGAGCTCCGCTACCACTGCGTGATGCAGTGGCAGCGGGCTCAGCAGATCACTCCTATTTTCGACCTGTGGCGCAAGTGCCATTCGGCGATCCCCAGCTTGAGCCACCATATGGTGACAGGAAGTTTGATCAATGACCTATGCCCAATTCGCAATCATATATACATATATATATATATATATATATACATATATATATATAAATAAAGACTCACAATGGGATTACATGGGATTTACCTTCACGTGTCCTCATATGTATGGCGGGCCGCTGGGAATCCACGAACTAAATGGAGTGTTCATTGATGGGAAAATCAATTAACTAAATGGGAGATGTTGCATTGCCACGTTTGCTTACCGGAGGGTAACTCGAAAAGTGATGAGGGAAAGGGCAGTACAGAAAAAGCGAGACAACCCCAGAAAGCGAAACACCCAAAAACAGCTGAATACCATAAATAGTCCCCGAATTGTGTTGCTATTCATCAACATAGAAAATTCTGGCATATTCTGGCAACACTCTTGGCATATGAACTGTGACTAACTACTGTATTCACAGTGTGCCAGGGTTTTAACCCTTTTACCTCTGTGACTGATGTATTTCAAGTAGCGCACAAGGCAGCTCACGGTACGACGGCGCTTTTTCTTTTATCCCTGACTTGTTGGATTCAGATTGCTTCATACTTCATGATATACGGGATCTGGTCTTCCAGCAACATGTCGCGGAACCAAGATTACATTAACCCATTTTCTCAAGTTCGCGAAGCTACAACACAGCTTTTCCGTCTTGAGCACTAGTGGCTTTACTATGCTTTACTTTTTATTTGCTACAAGCTGGTGCCCCCCAGTGTTTTTTGGTTTACAACCCCTAACTATGGATTCTGTAGATATATAGATATAATATGATAATAATATGATATAATATGTGCATACTAGTTTCTACTAGTTGTAAATCAACAATGACTTCCCAAAAAAACGGCGTTGGCTGCATCGCCGCACCGCAGGCACAGCCTGTCATCCACAGCATGGTCGTGGACCACCTGTCAGCAGCTCAGTCAGAGGACCAACACGAAGCAGTGCTGGTAGGAGATGTGATGATATAATATCTATACGCAGTATAGATGCAAATTTGGATATCATTATAAAAATTCAAAAATATCCAAATTGGGAACCTACCACAGATTCTCGGATATTTTGAAGGATTGTTCGCAGGCTTGTCGTCCAGTCCCAATCAATGCCTGGGATTGGTCAGAACAGGATGTGTTGACAGTTGAAAATGTCGTGTTTAATCGTGTTGAAAAACATTTTGGGAGGATGAAGATCCATGAATGCCAGCTATGTTCATGTTTTCTTTTCATGTTTTTTCACAGGTTTTCAACCCAGAACTTCAACAGTTTTTACCGATGGCCGGCCGCTGAGGTTGAGTACTCCTCGCCTCCATGGTCTTCTGGATGTGATGGTGTCCAACAGCAACGCAGTTGCCTGGGCGGAGGCATGAGCAAAACAAGCGGTTGCTTTGGGATGACAAAATCAGAGAGGACATACATAGAAAGTCTAGAAATCTGACATGACTTAAACTGAGAAAACATGGAAATCTAAATCACTTAAATTCATTCAAATCAACGTCACTTCTAATTTATACATAATATCATAGCATGTTTTCTTTTCTCATTGGGTCCCATATTCAAGCCCAACTTCGGCAGAATTTGCAACCAACAGCCTCTAACAGATTTAACAGGCTTTCACATGTTATTCAGGGGGACAATATCCAGAATCCAGCGCTGGGAAGCTGCAGATTCTCCAGCTGCGGGCGAACAAGAGCCGCATGGCTGCTGAGCTACTTTGGAGGTGGGAGTTGAAGATGGCTCAGGATGGGACTATTGATCCTGGATACCATGATTTTTCCAATATTTTTCCCATTTGACCATCAAGATCATCAAGACTTCCCATTTTTCCCACTATTTCCTCATCCTTTTCGGAAACATCTGTGATTTTTCCAGCATTTTACATCATTTTACCATCATCCCAGCTTTTTACCATGGATTTCCACAGGTACCACCAACAACGAGGCCAAGTGCGGCCCGAATGGGCCCAGCTGCAACGTTTGGTGGAGACCACCCAGGCCGGCTTTGAAGCATCAAATGATGAGAATAGTGGGTTTTCAGATGTTTTAAACATGAGAACTAGTAAGTTGAGAATAATCACATTCCACCGGTGGACGGGGTTTTCGCACATTTTTTTTTACAGTCCATGAATTGGGAGAATAGCCTGGTATGGTGAAAGTAGCCATAATGCCAGCAAAATATCGGCAATTTTTCCAGAAACTGGGAATGGGCCAAAATGAGGATAGCTGGAGAAATTCTGCAAGAAAGGGTCATTTGGAAGGACATAAATCATCATTTAGGTGTTTTCTTTCATATGTTTGTTGATCTAGAGCCACACGTTAAAAAAATAATCGCCCATGGGGATCCATGGGGAGCATAGACAGATATCGCCAGTGCTCCCATTTCTGACCTGGCGCCAGTTCTACAGCCTGAAAGACCGCATCCGATATTTACGACTATCGCAGGAGCATTGCAGCATGGAAGTGAAGAGAAAGTTGCTGTTTCCAGTTGAAGGTTTCATTGATTGCAATACAAGTTGGGTACCACAAACCATTGGAATTCACTCTGGATGCAGATCGAAATTAGTAAGCAGCGCAGCACACGCAACAGGGTCAACTCACTTCGAAAGCAAGGCATGTTCTCTCAGCTCGAAAGACTCTGCATGACACTTTGAATACACCTTTTTTTTTAGCGGTACCAGGCCATACCATTGGCCAACTAATCCCTTCTTCCGCATGGCAAACCGGCAAACCCCTTCGAAAACCCACGGTTTCGTTGTGTATCTCTTCACTCACTTTCGGCTCGGTTTGGATTTGTCTGAAATCATTTTGAGAAAATCATGAATTAAACAGCATTGATATGTTTTGCGCAGATCGCCCCGTTCTATTCCCATTATGATCCCGATATCTCCATCATATTTTCTTAAACTCATATAATATGCCATATTATATAAAATATATTTTTATATACCCTCTGGTTATTTAACATAGCCATGGAAAATCACCATTTTTAATAGGTAAACCCAGGTAAACCATCTATAATTGGGCCATTTTCCATGGCTATGTTAAATAACCAGAGGGTAATATATTTCCATCGGCTGGATGTAACCCTTCCCGTTGTGTGATTCACGCCGTCCGAGGAGCGCAAGAGCGGGGCCGACGAAAGAAACACCTTGGCGCTGCGGCTGAGCTCGGCTGGGTCTCAGCCGCCGGGGGAAGTGCTTCCATAAATAAGTGAGGTATTTATGATGGTTTATTATCCATATATATATACAATTATATACATATATCAAAATTTATTATTATGTACAATTATATATTATATATTTATATATTGTAATATATTATGTATACATATATATATATATATTCTGTATGTAGATAGTGAAAGTGTACCATAGTGTACCCCTTAAGCAAATCCATGGGTTTCGTGGAGATTCTTCAATCAACGCAGTGAATCCCCGTGGCTGCAGTGGCTTCTCAAACAAGGCGGAGAAGCTGCAGCTGCCTCTCTTCCATGAGCTGCAAGAGGTCGCAAGTGAAACAAGCCATGAAGAAAGGCGGCCTCGACTCAGCTCAGAAAGCAATACCACTGACCAGGTGTTCAAAAGACATGAAGAGACAAGAGGGAGTACGACTGACTTATAGTGATTTCATATTTTATATATTTTGACAGAGTAGTGCAACTGCTGCCTGGAAAATTGAAGCTGACTAAGATTGACAATTCACAATGTTTGTTCCAGTTGAAAGCCCATTGGTGACAACTATGCCCAATTCCAATGTTGCGGGCCCCTACGGCCGGCAGGCGGATGGCAGCAAAGAAGTGCTGCCACGATCTGAATCAGCTGCAATCAATCCGAGAGCTATTTGAGGCGCAGCTGGAAGCCAAAGGAAGCAGGGAATGGCATGGAATGGCCATCAGTTGCCTTTTTTTTGCATCAGTTTACACATCAATTTCAATGAAACAACATGAAACAACATGAAACAACATGAAACAACATGAAACAACATGTTTCACAACATTTTTCACAACATGAAACAACTACAACTGTAATTACTGCATATTACTGCAAAGATCCTCAGAGATCCTTTATGGATCTTTGGAAACATGACGGAAAAAAAGTGCCGTCACCAGGTGGCGGGTGACTTTGGGCTGGGGCATCTTCAGCTAGCGATTGCGGGCTTCTCAGGTGCGAGACCTTCGGGGTCTGGAAATTTCCCGACTGTCGAGGATTTTGTACTACGTATTGCTTAAATATTTCCAAATGGTGATTTCTTACCAACTATTTACAGTCCTATAATATACTATTTCATACTATTTCTAGTATATAATTATATAACTATTTCTTGTATTCCAAATGGTTTGATATTGGTTTGATTACAAGAGGCTAAATGTACATGATATTGCTAGATCTTTTTAGTAGGAACAGTGGAAGGCACCTGTACTATGAATAGACGTGAAGAGGCTGAGGACATAACTATGTGTATCTATAGGATATATGATACATGAACAGTGACAATTCATGAGAATTCCAACAAGAACAGCACTTGCCGCCTACCATATAAATCAACCAGATTCAGTTCTTCATCCTAGGTTTTTCTGTTGCGAAAATTGCGGTTTTACTGTCAAAAGGGCATCTGCCCTTTTGCTTCATGCCGTGCCTTGGTTCACAGGTGCAAAGATGGCTCATGATGTGGTAGCAACTTTGCCTCCAACTCAGAAGGTTGCTGCAGTATTGATGTTTTTTCTGGAAATTCGTTGTTCCATGAGTTTTCATGAGTTTTCATGATTTTCCATGATGTTCCAGATGCGATTGTCACTTGAGTCTTGCTCCAGTGCCCACGATACGGCATCACGGCGCTTCGTCGGAAAACAGCGGCGCACCTTGCAACCTTAGGTGGGTGAGCTTGCTTTTTCCGCGTACAGAAAGCTTGTACAGCGAAAAGCAGGCGATGGATGCTTTCTTGGAGATAATATGGGTGTGTCTGAAAATGCGGTATACCGTGGTGTATACCTCAAAATATTCCTTTTAAATCGGAACATCATGGAACATGATAAAAAACCATTGGATTTTGAGGTACCTTCTTTTCAGACAAACCCAGCTTTAAGCTTTCGCTTTGAAACACTGAGATGAAAAGACTAAAACTGCTATAGCTATCTTTGAACAGCCATCAGAGAGCCATTAGATGTTTCGAAAAAACCGCTCCGCTAAGCTCTGCTAAGCTCTGTGAGGCGCCATCTTCTCCCAGGGAACTCTTTCCACTCTTGATGCTGCGACCACACCAAGAGTTCTTCCTGTCCAAGCAGGTCAGCCAAAGAGACGGCTTGGTTTAGATTCTGAATGAGCCATTCAGTGGCAATATAACCACTTTCAATATCCTTCAATCAATATCATGATTCATCAATGAAGTGAACCTCATCAACCATCATCAACCCAATATCCCCAAACTATCCCACGCAAATCCCAAACATATCTCATAAATCCCAAACATATCTCATGAATCCCGAAAAATATCTCATAAATCCCTAAAAAAATATCAGAATTCCCCAAACAGATTCATCCCCAAATAGAACATGATAGAACAGCAAATCGTCATCAAATTAGTGAAGTATTTGTCCATCATGTTCCATCGCTGAAATGGTGGGGCCAAGTCCCTCGTGACGCCAGGAAGTGGCACCGGCAAAACCGATCGCTCGGCCCGAGCCAAAGTTGCTGCGATGGAGGATGCTGACCTTCCTGCGCGAGCTCAGGGAGGCGGTGACGTTTGAATTTCAAACAGGGAACGGTTGGATCAGTTGGGCACAGGTAAGTTGAGGATTTTCCAATCTTTTGAGGGGATGGGATGGATCAAAACCATGCAAAACCAAGGATTCTAGCAGATTTCCCATTTTGGAGGGGATGCATATCCATCATTGGCGATTTTGGTGTGAAGAAAAGGGTACCAGGGTTTTGACCAATTGTCATCTGAATTGATGAAATGAGGATCCAACGCTTTTTAAGAATGGTGGTGTTCCACTACCAGGGTTTAACTCACAGTTTCGTATCAGTGGCATATGTGGCATCATGTTGTGGATTTAGCTCTCTAGGGCGGAGGAACAGTTGGATGGGTTTGACACAATCCGTGACTAGCCTACAGTCTTCATGTCACTTTGCAAGGACTGGTGGTTGGCCAATGATGGGTTCAAAGGGAAACATGCGGCAAGCCATTTTCTTAAAAATATATGTCTGCCGACAAATCATTTCGGAACCTTTCAGTGCAGTGACTCCACAGCTACTTCCGCAGCTGTGTCAACACCCTGCAGGTGGCACCAGACAATCATACCCTCTGGGAAGCGAGGTGTGTCCCTGGGCCAAGCTCTCGTATGCGCACACAATCGTACGCCAATGGTTTCCGCCAGCACCCTTTCTCTGTCGGAAAAAGTCGAGAAACAAAAAATGTCAAAAAATATCAAAAAATCATTCCGAATCAATTTTTAGAGGGCTTTTTTATTGTGCTGCGTGTTTCGATGTGTTTGTTACAGAGCTCCTCTAATGCTCCTCTAACAGCGGGGAACATGGGTGGAACATGGCGTGAAATTTCTGCGGCTGAGGTGGGAACACTCTTGGAGTTCAGCAACTGTCTGTGGCTTCAAAACTGTTCCCCAGAGGCCGCGTTTTGTTGGTTTTGTTTTTGTCAAATGTCCTCAAAGTCTCGCTAAAATCCTTTCCCCCTATAGTCAAACACCTTTCATAATAACGGTACTGGTACGCCAAGATGAATAATGTTTATTTTCAAATTCTATCAGAGACAGCTTTGTTCACATGTGCACCTTTCGGAGGCTCCGCAATCGCCTGGCTTTGGACGAGAAGGTGTGTACTGCAGATCTAGTAGGGCAACGGGATAGAGGGGTCAGTAGCATAGAAAAGGCATTACAATACCAAGTTCATCCAAGTTCAATGGGTTGCATTTGAATATATTTAAATCCTGTTTCTATCCAGTAGGGAAAGTGCATACTTTGGCATATTTTATGATCGTTTATTTTTCAGTAAGTTGAGGGTCAGTGAATTCCCAAAGAGACGGCTTGGCAGGTGACGCGTCTGCTGGGTCACCCTTGATCAATGAGACTTGCTTGTGGGTGCCTGGCCCCAGTGCTAGCAGTTGAACCACAGTACCAGAGTATGTGCCAAGTCAGCTGTCATCAGTACTCAAGCGCTGCTGGCTATTGCTGGTTTGTATTCTTCTGATATGGATTCGATCCCTTGGTTTCTGCAAAATTATGGACATGTGTCCTTTGAGCGGACGCTCTGTTTTCATGTGTTTTCATGTAGAATACTTCAAACGTCCAAAACACTTGACATGAAGGACCTGATGGGGCAGAATGGCTTTGAACCGAATCAGAATTTCAACCATCATCTAGAAATACGTTAATTACCCCAAAATATGATGGCTTATAACTTATGTAAGTTATAGTTATAAGCTATAATCATTCCCCCCACTACAACAGCCACCCCTTGGGAATAAAGTCCGATTCAGCAAGCAAATTTCGATGATTCTTGGGGTCTTGGCCTTGTATTACCATGGTATTTCCACATTTACACATCCATTTCAACCCATTTCAACCATCATCTTTGCAGCTCATCATCGTCATCATCTCGTAGGTGGCAACGGAGGTTTTGTCCCAGGAGCCCTTCAACATGTCCTTAGCCGACTTGGTCACCTTCTACGTACCTTCCTTGGCGGCTCGCGTGGTCCAAGAAAAGTAATCCGTTGAGTTAATGAATTGAATTTGAATGAGTGCCATGTGCCCAATCCCTCGCCATATGTCATGATTCCCCAGGGTTGTTCGTGGTGGCAATCATGATATTCATTGATATTCTATACGCCAAACAGAGCATGTCCAAGTGCCACTGGGCCACTGGACAGCAAATGTACTACTCTTTGGGGTCAAACCTTCCTGCAGTCAATTGTGAGCAAACATCAGAAACTGAAACGTTGCAGATGCACCATGCCAACACAATAGAGTGTTTTTTTTTCCCGCTCATCATATCATATATATATATATATCATACCATCTTCATCCATTTTCTACTAATATGACATAACCCATAGGATCCATGTATGGTATATATGCTAACATGACTGGGATATATTGATGGGATCCATGGCACACCATATATAGCAGCACCATGGATCCGTTGGGTTTGCTAAACACCGCAATGGCTCGGACAGGCAGAGATGATTTCAAACCTCCACGTTTGGCACAAGCAGCTGCAGGTCAGACGTGCGTTGCCTTAGAAAAAAAGAGGTCATGGTGCAGTCCCTCAGGTGATATATGATATATGTGAAATATGTATATATATAATATATGTTGGACATTGTTGGACTATTTAATTCATGCCCTGTATTTTAATGAAATATCCATGTAATTATCATTGGATATATTTTGGCATGAGATCCAATCCTGGGGACATTCTACCCGAACAGCGGCCGCATGTGAGAAGTTTGATCGCTGGCTCACATCGGCAGTGGCGCAGGAAATTGTCCCAGCCTACCTCAGAGCGAAACCTTGGCTTTGGCCATCGGAAGAGGCCTGTGCTCAGATGGGCCATGGCATTAGTTAAGTGGTTAGTAGCTGGGTTATTAGTGGGTATATGATGGGTTAACAGTTACTAACCAACGAACTAATCCCATGGCCCGTCTAAGTGGGTGGCCACATTTTATGACTTTGCCGGGCTGTTGAATTTCCACTGTGTTGGCTCTGCAGATTCCAAGTCTCGCAAGCCGCAAATAGTGAAGAATATTGAACTGATTGGTGGTTAATATGTTTTATTTTCAACCATAGATATTTGAAATGGGATATGAAATCATGATCACCAAAGACGTTCCTAGCGAATTCAGGGAGATATCGATGAAGTGACAGAGTGCATCAAATTTGGGCAGGACGTTCACCTCCATCTATCGCAAGTTGCCACTGTGGTGCTAGCGGGCTGGCTGCGGGAGGCGGCAACGATCCAGTGGGGATCTACTCTGGGGTTTTCTTAAAAAGGGGGACACCCCCAATGGGACACCAAAACCATGGGGTTTTACCATGGGGTTTTACCATAGGGGTTTTACCGTGTTTTGATCTTCGTGAATATGTAATATATATTATGTTATAATTTGATAATATTTGATATAATTTGATCGAATCTTGGATGATTTTGGGGGTGCCCAAAAATCGTTTGAGCAATGGTGTTTGATGGCGATTTGACGCTGAGAGTTTGCTTGTGCAAGCTGCTACTTAATGAGTTTGATAGACCAAAACCTAAATAACATATAATAAAATCAGGTTCTGAGACCGAACAACAGGTTATAGGCTATAATAGACCATAGAGGCTAAAGTAGGTTATAATAACACGGAGGCTATATATATAATATATAACTCTAATAGACTCTAATATATCATAGTCCATTATTATTATTATATTTATTATTATTATTATAATTTAATCATGTTGAATCTCGCTGGCAGTATGTAGCCCTAGCTTCGTCTCCAGATGAAGGTAAGACTGGCACGTAGATAGAAAGTTTGTGATGAACGCCACTGCTTATTTTTTGGTTTATCAATATGATCGTCGACCTAAAGGTCCATGTAGAGATTGTCCATTACAAAGGCCGCCAGGGTTCCAACCTGAGACCCCGCGAAAGTTTTTTTTTTTCCTGAGTTTGCGAAAGTAATTATTTGTTTTTGCGAAAGATTTAGCGAAAGATTTTAACATGAGACCCACGCGAAAGATAAACGCGGGCTTCGCGAAAGATTCGTAAAAGTATTTTTTGATTCGCGAAGAATGGCCGTTTGCAGATAATGAAACAATCAACCGCATGCATGGGCATACATATAATCCACAATAATGTAACATCACAATAATTGTATTATATTGTATTATATTATAAATTATAGTTAGTAAATTAGCAATTGGCTTCAGAGCGCCGCAACACAAGGTGTGGTTTTCACCCGCATTTCGAGGCTGAGAGGCTGTGCAACAGCTCTGGCTTTGAGAAAGAGAAGGCGGAGCATCACTTTGCCCAGGCGGCCGCCAGTAGCCATTTTGATAGGGAAATATCATCCACAGGAATTGGGGGTACCCTATTTTCAGACAACCCCACAGAATAATTATCGTACATAATTCACAATAGTATAATATACACATTATAATTTATTATAGTCATCGAGTAACAGACACAACATAACAAAGCGCCTTACTTTGCCATAGCCCTGGGGTCCTGTGGTTGTCAGAATCTCCGGAGGTTTGGCGGCGATCGGCGGATGGCCTACTCGCAGGCTTGTACCTTCGCTTGAATGGCAGCAAGCTCAGTTGAATCCGACTTGGGCCGTTGGTCTTGGGCAAAACTGTGGTCATAACTAGTAATAACAATGGTAATCACTATGGCAACCCCATAAGTTGGATATAACATGATATAACCCCGAAGTCCACAAACATGTTTTAGACTGACGTGGAGTGGCCAGGGAAATTCAGCCATTTTGGCCATGCAAGAGGATTAGGGCCACGACGTAAGAATATGTTAAATGTATTTAAATGTCCGATGTCTTGAATCACTGCCGACTTAGGTTCGAAGCATGCGACAGCCCAACGTCTCCTGGTTGAGGCCCATGGCATCTTGACTTCTCCATTGAATCTTCATCCACCGGTGCCGGATCTAGCCGAGGAAACGTCCGGTGGATCTAGCCGAGGAAACGTTGCTGTACTACCGCCCCCCCGAAACATGCAAAGCTCAAGAAGATTGAATTTATGACCGCATTACATCTGCCTTCTGATAGGATTAAATCTTGCCTCTGCCGCATTTTTATTAATAACTAATTTGATATTAATTTGATAATATTTGTGTTTGTCTGAAAATGAGCTACACCCCAGAATCCAATTTATCCTGTTTTTTCCCATATGTTTCCCACTAAATGACCATCTATCGGGGTAGCCTTCGGTGGAACTGCCACATGCAGAGGTTCTTCGCCTGGAGAAATCCTGTCGACTGCTTCTCGAACAAGTGGTGCGCTTCGGGGAGTTCTAGGGATTCGGAAGATCCACGACGCCATGGGTTGCCATCATCAATTACCCATGACGGATCCTAACGGTGCTGCTATATATGGTGCTCCATGGATCCCATCAATATAGCCCCAATGATTATTATACATATATATATATATATACCATACATGGATCCTATGGGTTATGATCCCCGACGGCCCCAACCCAAGTCGGAGACATCACATTCCGTTCTTTCTGCATCTTCAAGAATCCAACTACGGTCGATTCCGTAGCCATGTCACCGTATCAGACTTTGATCGCGGCTGAATGCATGAGTCACATTTGATGGAAGACAGGAATTGCATGAAAACGAAGGGAAAGAAAGCGAAGGGACGCATATAAATGATCACAAGATCATCAGAAAAACAACATCAGCTTCAACAGAAAAAGAGGAGGGGAAATCGGGGAAATCGATGGACATCGACGATCACATCTATCACCACCACGAGCCACCGTCACAATCACAATCGCAGCTAAGCAGCAACACGGACAATGGCAAGATCTGGGCTTATCTCCAAGTGGGAGAGGGCCCCAAAATGACTATTTTGATGGCAAAGTTGATGATCAACTATGGTTGTTTCTAGTTGTTTCTTGAATGAATTTTGGGGCTCCCCCAATGTTAAAAACTCATGTTGCATCTCCATCCGTACCGCCGCCAGGTGTACCTAGGCCCTGAGACCTAAGGCATGTCCTCTGGTCAGAGATGCGCGTCATGGGGGTATCCAAAATTGGCGGCTTGTGATCGCTGGCAGCTTCCACTGAGTTGGCTTGGAATATGTTGGAATGGGATTGATATGGATGATGGATTGATGATAGGAAGATCCTATCAATGATCAATGATCTTTGATGATCTTTGAAGAGTTTAAATTTCTTGGGAGCTGTGATATGGGTCCACATGAGTCCACATGAGTCCACATGGCGCCATGGCATCGGCTCAAGTCCTGTCCCTCCGACACCGAAGCGCGGCTTGAGGCAGATACTTGTGATCTGTGATGTTCAACTGGTGACCGGGTGATATTTTTTTTTCTCCATCTAATTCTGGTGATACCATGTGATACCCAAAAACATTAAAAAAAGATACTTCGTTACTTCTGAGCTCTTCTACAAGTGCACTAAATCATTTATAAACCATCTACTGGTTACTTCTGAGATTTTCCACAGGTCCACATGTATACTTCAAGGGAATTACCAGGAACTGCAGAAAAAAACATGCTTAGTATTATAATTATACATATATATTATATATAGTATATATATATAGTATATAGTATATATATATATCCATCTACATCCTATTTAGTGGTAAATACTATGGTTTCAACATGTTTCAACATGTCTCATCGATTTTCCATGGATTTTCCGAATGGTGAACTCTAGGATCATGGCAGACAGTGGCTCCACTGGACGTGGCACTGCCGCAGCTTCCGTTGGCGGCGTGGGGGCGCCTGGGGTAACAACGGTCTGGTGACCTGGTGGTTTGGAAAGTTTGGAACATGACTTCTATGACTTTCCATTCAGTTGGGAATAATATGGAATAATTATATTGGGAATCATGAAAACGCAAAATTATATTGGGAATTTCATCATCCCAACTGACGAAATCATATTTTTCAGAGGGGTAGGTTGAAACTACCAACCAGTAGTCGAACAAATAATGGGATGGAACGATGGAACATCAAAAAAGTGTGTATTGTATGGTATTGTATGTAGTTAGACCATGTTAGACCTTTGATTTTTATCAACGGGAATGTATTGTTTTCCGGGATCTTCATCGCTAAATGCACCATGGTAAGCTTATGTAAGCTGGTTGTTAGGAATCATTCACGCCGCTGCTGGATCCTCCCTACACCGCGAAAGCGGCTCTTACTGAAGTGCCCAACAATAGAACATGTCTGGAAGGTCATTTTTGGGCTTGTGTTCTGATCGGGCAAGCTTTGACAAGGGAGAACTGCAACACACGAAGTTTCCAGAATGATGCAAGCACCTGGTGGAAAACTCTAAAGGTAGAGAGTCTTCCAATAGCATACCACCCAAGCAAAGTGTAGCTCACTGCATTCACCTGGCGAACGCACTTCTAGTCCGCTCTGTTCAAGAGCAACCCCAGCTCCCTTTGGAGAGTTGTGCGCTTCTGCTACAAGTTGCACTTGTCCTGTAGTTTATTGGATGGCACCTGCAATAGCTAGTGCTTTTCCACAATCAGCGCACCAACCAGCCCCATCATAGTAAATGAGCACTGGATCCATGGCAACGGTGTCTTAAACATGACTTGATGACCCATGTTGCATGACCGGCCTCCAGTCGCGAACGGCCCTCGCGCGACGATCCAACACGAGGACGATGCCTACTGATCACTGAAAAACACTGTTCCGGCCCCATATATGAAAGTATGGTTGCTTTGATTTGGAGTTTGAGACAGGTCAAAACCAGTAGCTCTTGTAGCTAGAGTCACAAACCAAATACGAAACATGTGATATCCTGTCCCATAGGATCCATGTATGGTATATATATATATACTAACATTGGGGGTATATTGATGGGATCCATGTTACCATATATAGCAGCACCATGGATCCTATGGGTGTGATAACCACATAGAATCTATTGACATCTATTGACCATCAAGACATCCATCGGTTTTCACATCGGATTGCGAGGAGCGGAGCTGGTGGAGCTGGTGCGAGTCAGGGAGCCAACAGTGGGCGAAAAGCCGCCGGAGGAGGCCGACCCAGCTGGGATCAAATGGAATAGCTGCACAGCTTTTCTTAGTGAATATGTCAATATGTGTCAACTGTCAATATATCATAATAATCTATGTCCAAACATTGGATGATTGGATGATTAAATTATATAGTATCTGTTTCCAGGTAATTCTCTGGTTGAAAGTTGAAACTCATGTTTTTTCCCTCCAAACAGATGACTTAAATCTTCATTTTCATCGATGTTGCAGGAAATGGTTGGGGTAGACATCCCAGAGGGAGATGAAGGTGAGCCAGGTAAGCAGCAGCAAATTTCAACGCGCAAATTTTTTGGGGGTCAAATTTGGAATGCTCCGTTCTGGGGACATGTCTTCATGTGTTACCCTCTGGTAAACTAACATAGCTATTGAAAATGATCATTTATAGTGAGTTTTCCCATGAAAAATGGTGATTTTCCATAGCTATGTTAAATTACCAGAGGGTATTCATGTTTTGTTCTGCCGCAGGTGGAATTTTGAAGTTCTACTCGGACGATTCTCCAGGATTGAAAGTGGGCCCCACCACGGTGCGCGGCTCCGCTTCGATCTTCGCTTCGGATCTTCAAGCGATGGTAAAACATGGTGAAACATGGTGAAGCAGCGAAGCAACCTACAATGGGACAGTCATGGACAGTATGCATTGTATGCATGTCCCAATGATTCCCAACTAAGTTGCTTAGGAGGATACACATGGATACACCATGATACACCTCTCCCCTGCGACAGTCGAATTTGGGTTACAACATGTTACAACGACCTGCGGCGTCACCGGAAATATGGCTAGGATTGGGGGAATCATCCCAATTTTTGGGCTTCTTTGGGGCTTGAAGGATGGACTAATGGACCGTTGAGCTTTTCTTTTCTATGCTTTGCGGATTTCTTGGATGTGCATCCTACTTAGTAAGTGGTTTATAATCCACATAAAACCCTATGCAGCCTATACATAAACCATCATAAACCATGTGGGGATATTCCATATATAACTGGGGGATACTGGGGGTATAAGCCATTTACCAAGTGGGGCCCGCACCCGCAATTAGCCAGGTGTTGGTGCTGTCACTGGTCTTCATGGCAATCGTGTGCTCTTTGCACATCCTGGGAAAGTTCAGAAGCGGATGAGGCTGGCTGTTATCTTGAGCCCGAGTTTCAAACCCCAGTGGCTGACAAATCCTTGGCAGGTCAAGAGTTAAAGATCAAACCAGAGATGACGGAAGGGATGATAAGCTCCCTTTTGACTAATATCGATTATTTGGATAAAGTATAGTTTTGTTTTTCACAATGTCAAAGAATAGTTAATGCTCAGAATGCTCAGAGAAATTCCGCAGTGCGTAGAGTCCCCCGAAGAAGGGAAACACAGTGCGACGCGTTCCGGAGCAAAGCTGGTTGAGCTTCTAGCTTGAGGCATTCAAAGCTTGTTGACTACAACACACGGTCCTCTGAAAAAGGCACTCTCTGGTCTTTGAAGGGTATTCTGAAAGGAAGCAAGTGTTATAAATATATGTATATCATATAAATATCTATAATATTCTATAATAGCGCTGAACCCATCAATATTGGCAGGCGTCGAGTTGGACGCCCTAGACAGCAGTGGTTGTTTAGGTCTAACGAAATCATCCACAATCGGATAAGCCACACAGACTATGATGGGGACCCTTTTCAAAACAATAACATTCTACAGGCAGCGAGACAAAGGGTACAGTAGTATGAGATCATGCCAAGCACCGAAGCATTCGTATGAGTTGCGATTGTGTGCGACTGAATGCTTGGCAATGGCAAGAGAAAAACATCTATAATAGTGTACATAATAATACATAATATATTTTTCAGATTGGAAGAAGTACTTTAGTGACGTTGGGTTTCGCCAACGACTTGCGACATCTACCAGGTTTTACCACAGGCCATGGCCATGTCGTGCCAGGGACCTGGACTGGAAGTGCAAGGCACAAAGACAGGACGTGGCGAACGTCACTGAGAAAAGATGTGTCGCTGACTTCATATTGGATGCTGGTTGGCATCAGTTTGTATAGCTAGGCTAGACATGGCTATAGACTATGTAATCTCATTTGAATCGGTGGTTCTCCAATGTTCTCTACGCATTTTCGTGATTCCTTAAGAAAACTTTTTGCTGGCTGAGTTGGCTGGGTTCTCATGGTTTCTAAACTGCTTCACCCACTCTACCGGTTGGCTCTTTGTGTGGCGGATGTTGTCTAGTGGTTTCATCCAACGCTGTCGAGCTGTAGTTGGAGAATCTGGGTGCTAGTTTATTCCGGATACAGGACGATCTTATCTGTGAGTAAGATTGGCAACATGTCCGCAGCGAAAGGCAGTGCTTTATGACTTATGTGTTTCTAAACTGGACACGGAGTGGTGTATATCATCGGGAAATGGCAAATCGCTGCTGATAGCATCAATGGAAATACCATGAAATACCAGTGCAAGATGTCTTGGTTATTCTTGGTCATTCCTGCTTTTCTAAATACGTGTGCATCGACTTGATGATAGCAAATGCATCTTTGCGGTGAAGCGCCCTATGGACCAAAGTATGGCAACAGGCAATTCGACAAGCTCGACATCAGGAAACCCCCACACCGAATCATCCGAAGTGTTACCCACCAAACATTGATGATACGATGTCTCTTCCAGTTGCGACAGGTGAGTGAACAAAGACATAAAAACAGGACATATTATTCTCACATCTTCAGATTTCTGAAGAAGTTCAGTTAGCAAAAGAACACACTTCTTTCTGCTGGTGTCGTCACCATGGCAGCTCCTGGACAGGACCGGAGAATCAAGGAGATAAACATCCAAGAGTGTAGAATACGGTATATATATATATACACACGTATACATCATATATGTTATACAGTAGATATGGCGCTCTCATTTTCCATTCATGGATTTTTGATGATTTTGGCGCATATTTTTCAAAACGGAAACACACCGAAGATATCAAATGAACTGCTGAGCCTCTGACGCCTTCCACATTGGACCTCCCTGGAGGTCCAAATATATCAGATATTTTAGTTGGCAATTATCACCAATTATCCCCAATCAAACCTCAATCACCAATGATCATCATTTTAGCCAGCAGATCCCAACGAAACCCCAAGTATCACCAATTAAGCTTTGCTGAAATGTCGAATCACAGAATGGGAAAATCTTCAGATTTCTTTGTGATCAGGACCGGCTGTCTCAGGCAGTAGACATGGAGAAGAAGGCTGGAATGGACCAATCATCACGGCTTTGGTACCTGAAAATGGAGGATTTACCCTCAACTTGTGGCAATTCTTCCATGGGGGCAATGATGATAAACCATGGGATTTGGGGTGGGTTTTTCCATGATTTTCACCAGGATTTTGGGCGATTTGAAGGTTGAAACTGAGGATTGTTCACCTGGGGGTCTTGAGTCCTGCCGCGACCGTCGGACTGTTGATATGCGTCCTTTGGCTGCTGACTAGCTTAGAGCTTGTAAGAGGAGCTTGCAGCATGGGAAATCTCCAAACCACATTGTCCTCAACAGCCATTAAATGTCTCCAAACTAAAAGACACTCAATTGCCATGAGCAATCCTAGCCTACCCCATTTCAAGCAGTCTATGTCGCTTGATATGTGGCAAAATCATAGAGCACATGCATCATTTCGTATGATACAAAGCAACCCGTCAGAATTACAGACTGCCGCGCAAGAACGTGGAGAAGCACGATAGTCGAAGGTTCTGTCCACAACGACCAACTCACCAGGGGCCAACTCACCAGAGCAACCACCTATACGCATCATCACCTTGTTCCCTTGCAGAGGGCTGGTAAATCCTGAGCATGACCCATGGAAGAGCCGGCCGAAGACTTCCACCATCGTTTGCCTACCCCGTGAAGTCCTCAGTTTGCAGATCATTGCCACACCGAGAAGTGCAACAAAAGCGATCAGATGACCATCCATTTACATCCGATTTACTACATTTTGACGTAAACACATGGGTATAGGCTGTATAGGCAGCAGGATTTTGATCCAATGGGCTTGCGTGCACAGATAATGATAGTATATTATAGTTTTTGTAGCAAGCTGAAGTGCTTGTATGCATGTCCTAACCAGGGTTTTGCTCCATAGCCATTGAGCGCATCTGTGGATACAGGATGGCACATGCTGAAATATTTTTTAATGCAGCAGATGGTGAGGGAGTGACTATGCTTTTAAGGCATTCCAGCATCATTGGGGACAGCAGTTGTCCTATGTTGTCCTCATGTTATCGCCAAGGTCCCTGAGACAGCAGTACTTCAACTTCCGCAAAGCCCAAGGACAGGGCGACGATGGCGTTTTGATCGACCCTTCTCGAGCAGCTGATTTGAAACCCACCACACTGCTGCTTGTAGAATCCGGGAGAGGTGCTGTGACATGCAAACGCCTCTGAAACTTCCTTTCATTGGCTGAAGGAGAGAAGAAGCTAGGTACTAGCTTCAGTCTTCCAAATCTTTCAGAACCTTGGCAGTTGTCAGTGTTTTTTTCATTATCAAATCAATTTTCTCAGCAGACCATCGACAGAGAGACCAACTACTGCAGACTGCCACTGAGGAGAACCACACATATCTCTCCCCCGATGTCCAGGCAGTGATTCCAGGGTGTCTGAAAATTGGCATACCCCCGCCATGGCAATTTGAATGACAAAACCAGGGTATTGGGGTTCCCTATTTTCAGACAGACCAATAGAAGATCATAGATCATAGAACCCTTCAAGTTTTGTTCCAGTATTTCCTTGGAGTGTGTGGAGGAACCAATGTTTTGAGAACTTAAGATTTGCAGGTTCTCACTCTCGAAGAGCTGTCGAGTCCTGCTGCTGGGATTCAAGCATGGAATTGCTGTGGGCGTCTTCAAGCGTGCTTGCTTGGGTGATAGAGGTACCACCCAGCTTAACAGATCTCAACAGTCTGCTGTAGAGCCTGGTCATGGATGGTGTCACAGAAATCGTTTGAAGGAAAGCTGTGAAAATTACGAAATACATGAATTTTTACATTTTCATGGTTTCCAATATTTCCATCATTTTCCATCATTTTCCATATGTCTCCATATATTTCACGAAAACCATATACACTATACAGGGATTTCATGGGAGAAAAACATGGTTTCCAACGTTTCCAGATGTTTCCAGTCGATTTTCCCTCGATTTTCCAGTGCCCTGCCGTGGAGCTGAGGCAAAGGAGGTCGAGATCACTCCACCGTCATGGCCTGAACCATCGATGATATGATCAAGAACCATATATGACATATCTACTTTCAGACAAACCCATATCATATGATATCATATTCAGATACATCATATATAATCATATATATAATCATATATATAATCATATATATAATCATATATATAATCATATATATATATAATTATATATATATATATATATATATATATTATTACTGTATATTCATCTATTTTCATATCATCCACTGATCCCTTAGTCCAATGACCTCCAGTGTAGAGTTGTAGCTGTTGACCACTCAGGCGACAAACTCCTCTACGCTCCCGCCGCTTTGGCAGCTCCGTGGTGCCGTCGGATCCCCTGGATGCAGAAAATCCCCACGCCTCGCAGCACTTGGTTTATGGTCTCCAAGTGAGATTTTTGGTATGGGCCGGAACATGTTGAAACCACCAACCAATCTGAAATGTGAGCATTGCGAGGCAGAAATTGTTTTCAGACTTGGTTTTGGATGTTGAGAGTAGGGCAGTCGGAGGCAATCCTCGAATATACTCAAGTCCGTCGAACAGTAGTTTACTTGATGAAGGGGGTGGATGAGCATCGAGGCCTGAAAGGGTGAAAGAAGCGTTTGGATCCTAGTCTGGCTAAACTTTTGTGTCACCAAGACTGCCATTGGTAAATCTTGTTGCTTGAATTGGCTGCAGTCTCAGGAGTTTCAAAGCAAACGATGGCAAAGGGGTAGATGGCAACCAGCAGTTAGTGAGCATGGACTCTCACCGAGCACAAATATTTAACCGCTCCTGCTCATTGCCAAGGTTGCCCAAACAAAGGCTTGTTGATGACCTGCGAGCAGTCCGAAGTGTTCGGCACCAAATGAACAGGAAACTTAATTTAACTATGTATTATGTATATTGAATTTATAGTGAAATAAGTTGCTGAAGCTTTGTCATATCCATCCTTGAGCTCCCAGACCCCTCCCAATTCTGAGCACTGTGGAACAGAAGCGCCAGCTAGATCCGGTGCTCCAAGGCCCATAACAGTCTAGAGCATTTGGCCAAGGTCACCAGGTGGGCTGGGAAACAGCGAGATTGTCCAAGATACTGTTGAAACAAAATGATGGACCATCATGCTGTTTTCTGACCTTGACAAAACTTCGTGATCCATGTGGTTTGTTGAAGCATTTAGTAGATAGGTGAGATAGACATGTATATTTATATACACAATAACAATATAATATTATTATACTATGGTATATTATGGTATAGGCAGTGTTACCATTGAGCTGTTCCTTATGTATACATGGTGTCATATGGTGTCCCTTCCAAGTGGCATTTCAGCTCAGGGACTTCGAAAGAATCGGTCGTGGCCCTGAGGCCAGCAGCGCAACATGCAGCCCACGGTATGCCTGGGGTCACCCCTTACCGCCAGGTGAATGCAGCTTTACCTCATCGACGTATGCGAGGTTTGGACCTCCTCTACAGCGTGCGCAATGGCCAGCCTGTCGAGTTGACAAGACTGAATTGAATGATGTTGAAACCATCAACGGCTCATTGAAGAGCAAACGTCTATGATACGTTTGGAAGCTTTGGCACTTTTTGTAATTTGCAGTTGTAGCATGTTGTAACATGTTTGTATTTTTTTTCCGTCAACTCAACTTGCCAGATTCTAGTATGCTTCCGAAGCCGGAGGATGAAGGCGGGCAAACTTGAGACTTGTTGTTGTGCTGAAGTTATGATTTTTATGGTACGACCAGCTTTGTCCAGACAAACATGTTTGAGAATGAAACCCGTGATAGTGCAGAATTGCCTCAGAACTCAAGTCCTGTTTGGCACAGATTGTTTGCGGAATCATGGCGCATCCAGTTGTGCGTCCAGCAGAACTGCCAGGAGGAGTCAGGCAAGAAGATGATGAAGAGACCCCAGATGGTACTCGACAAAAAGCTTTCAAGCTATTGAGGCTGGGCTATTTATTGATGTTACATATTGTAGTGATATTTAGTGATTTGGGTATGGATCAATACCTATTAATACCATGTTTAGGGGAATGAACATCCATTTACCAGCTATTTTGATGTTCACCAGGGGTACAAGGTTTTGACACACTGCCATTTATGTGCAGACCGGGCAGATGATTGGCAGATTGCATGAAAATTCGATGCGTGTCACGTCGACGTTGATTCGAAGAGTCTGTGATGACCCTGACAGGAGTGTGCCATACTTCAAAACTTTGGAGGCACCTCACATGTCGATCTCTGCAGCTTTCGCTATGCTTTGATGTGGATATTGCAACATATTGCAACATATTGCAACATATTGCAACATATTGCAACATCTGCAGACACTTTTGCTAATGTTCTTTCATATTGCAACATTTTGCTAGTCCTTCAGGGCATTTCAAGACGTGCATCATGCACCAGCGACATCCTGGGTGAACACTGGAGAAACGTGGGCACCAGCAGTGTTAGCCAACCCCTGTTGGTTGATCATGATATGGGGCTATGATTATCAACATGGATAGTGATAATCCCATGATCATGATCCCTATGTTATACTATCCAATATAATCAATATACATATTGGGGAGTATCACTATCCATCACTACCCATGGAAATCCTATGAAATCCAGCCAGTATTTTCATGCCTTTGCGGATCTGGAAGATCCATGAAGATCCGTTGCCCGGCTCAGACTGCTCACAGCGGCATGTCCTGGAAATTGAGCAGCGGTCTCAGCAACGTGGCGGGTGCACGTGGTGGGATGAAGCTGATGAAGTGGGGACCCAACATGGACGAACCACAAGCATCAACCAGCATCAACCAACATCAGTCAACATCAATCAACATCAATCATCAATCAACCAGCATCAAGTGACAGTAACCAACATTAAGTGATATTAACATATAAACCTGGTTGGTGGGTTCAAACATTTTTTATTTTCCGTAATATATGGGATAATCCTTCCCACTCTGACTAATATTTTTCAGAGGGGTTGAAACCACCAACCTGATGTATATTAATGATGGTGGTTGATTGATGGTTAATCTTTCATACATGATGATTAATGATGATTTATATTAACATACATTATTCATCATTAACCATCAAACATGCAAGATTCCATGAGTCGACTTTGAGGCCGTCGCTGTGAATTCTTCCAGGAAGCCGCTGGACAGGTCCGGTTTTTATCGCCACAAATAGGGGATGGGATACCCATGAATAGCAACTTTAATAGGGAAAATGATGATAAATCATTGGAAAATTGGAGGTACCCTGTTTTCAGACAAACCCATCTACCATTAGTGTTGAATGCCGTCATCTGATGAAATCTATGAAACGCATGGATCAAGAATACGAGAGCTTGTTCGAGATTGTCACAAGTGAAGCACAGATATGTCAAATTCCAGGCATTGATACACTGTGGGCCCCCCCAGTTATAAGTTGGTTTATAAACCCCATTAACATCCATTAACTATACGTAGTTTTTTTCAAAATATAAGTATCATAAAAGTATATCATAAACCCTAGTTATTGAAGTTATATTATAAACCAACTTAGCTATCCAAGGGGGCCCCACATTGGTTTACAATAATACCCTCTGGTAATTTCACATGACCATGGAAAATGGCCCATTTATAGCTGATTTACCCATTAAAAATGGTGATTTTCCATAGTTATGTTAGTTTACCAAAGGGTAATGGGAGTCTCCCATCACCTCCCCAGCCATGGCCATCGTGGCACCGTGGCAGGTTGTGTTCCGGCAGGGCGATCCGGCGGGAAATTGCTACGCTACTGGGGCCCTATTATTTTCTGAAGGATTTCTCGCAGAGCTTTGTAAAGATCATTGGGAAACTTATGTATCATCTCTAGATATATATATATAGTAGATATATATATATATGTATGTATGTATGTATGTATGTATGGAATATCCCCAGTTCTGGTTCATGTGGAGAATCCTCCAACTATGGCCAATATACCGAGCTATTGGGAAACTTCACATTTTGTTTACGATGATCTATGATGTTTTATGATGGTTCATGAGTTGCATGATGTCAAATATTCTGAAAGCAAGGTACTGATAAGAGGTGAAGTGGCGGTGAAGATATTCAAACCAAGCAATGAAGAGGACCGTGGGCGGATGAATGGGACATGCTTTTGGTACCTTAGTGCCTCCCATTCTAATGTAATGGGTAACATGATGATTATCCAATTTGGGGACACCTCATTTTCAGGCAATCCCATATTTTAAATGCATCAGCATGCGAGCTCTATTCACTGGTAGGACAAAACTTGCGCGCTTGTTGAGCTTCTGTCAACATGTTTGGTTTTTGCCTGTGCATACCCTTTCCCTTTAGAATCCTAGGATGGAGCTGTCTCCTACTCCGGTTGCATTTCTCTACCCTCCATTTAAAGTCGTATACGCAGAAACGACTTCAAGATTTGATCCACGGTTGACCTAGGATGATGCTTTGCAAAGGATTCAAGAAGCATAAACTTTGTTCATCTTTGTTCCTCCTGAAGTATATATCCATGCCACGGGAAAGTCTATTGCCAGCGAGAAAGACTTCGTACCGCATTCTGCATCAAGGAGACAAGAAGCACACATAAATTGCACCTACTGGTAGCAGAACATCAACTTGAAAATGGGCGTGTCTGAAATACGCCCCCAAATGACAATATTTTTTGGGACAACTCCAGACAAACCCATAATTATCATATATCCGTTTGAAAATCGTTGAAACTCTTTGAAGCACTGTTGATACCGTGCTGTGTGAGGATGCGCCTTGTCATGCTGGCGATATTTGTCCTGGTGGCAATGGTGTCATTGTCTGCGAAGTCAAAGTCGCATTGTATGCTGGCCCTCTATAGAATGAAGATGGATCTGGAATGATCTGAAATGATCTGGAATGATCTGGAATGATGTGGGATGGGATGGGATAGGATGGATGGACGAATACATACTGCTTCTAGATGATGGCTGTTGTGAATGCTTTTGAGACTCAAGACTGCCATTTCCAGTAGAACATTCGTTTCGGAGTCCGCACAAACTCCATGTTCCATCATGTTCCATATTTGATTTAGCTAGAGTGGTCAACGACTAAACCTAACCGAAGATAAAACGAAGGACAGTGCCTCTTGCAGACGCTCGGAAATGACTAAGACATTTCGCATTGCTTCGCAGTGTCACTGCTCACAAGCTTAAACAGACCAGAAACAACCAGAACTTGTAGGTTTTAGGACTACGATGTGTCAGACTTCCGACTTCGATGCACTGTGCTTTTGGTGTCGGGTGTCAACAGGAGTTCCCAAGATGGCTCTAGTACTGCTCTAGTATGCTCTAGTGATGTTGAGTCGGCTGTATGCAGACTCCAGAATCTTCTAAGAGAGAGAGCAAGTATAGTTTCCCAGAATTCACAAGAACCCCCATACTGGATGGCAAAACCATGCTTTCCTCTAGATTTTCCCAGCAAAATCCCTCCATTGATAGTTGCTGCCATGGCGTTCATCCTCTTCTTCTTCCTTCAAGCCGTGCTTGCGGTGCTTGCTGATGGAAGAGCCTACAGGGCCAGAGTTGTGGCAGCCAACCCAGTCGTGCCAAAGAGCTGTGCAGACAAGTGTGCAGTAAGGTGGGGTTGAAAGGGATTGAAAGGGATCAGATGCACAAAGAAAGAAAACAGACCTCTCGACTTCATGGCTTTAGACACAGGGACAGCCTTTGCCTTTCCTATGTAGTGGTATTTGAGCATATTTGAGCAACATGCGCATAAGGACAAACCATGTTTCCTCGAGGCCTCAAGCGCATTACTTCATACAATATAGCTGATGCCGTGAGAAGATTACTCGCGTCACACTCGCTTGACTTGTCCATGCAGAAGATATGTCGCACACACAGTCAGACAGCAATTAATGTTCATTTCCTGTAGGTGGTTGTTTCTCAGAAAGGACATCTGTACCATCTCCTTGTGCTTCACAGTTCACTGACCGCTTTTGTTGACCTGTCCGTCTATCAGTCATAAAACAACGTGTAATAGCAACCTACAGATTGCAACATCACTCCACTCCAGAAGTTGACATCCACTGTTTATTTTCATTCATGTTCCTCTTAAAGTAGCCAATTGAAGGGGATATGACATACTAGGACTCATACTGATAATAGTATAATATATATATATATATTATATATATATATTGTAATTAATATGCATCCCAGGTTCATCCTTTTTTTCCCCACCTGCCAGGTGAGGGTCTCTAGATTTTGACAAAGGTGCAACTCCCTTCCTTCCTTCCTTCATTCCTTCCTTCTTCTTTCCTTCACTCGATCCCGTCTTCTTTCTGCACTGTGGAGTGACATCGCCAGCTCCGGATCCTGTGGGGCACGCCTGGACCAGAATGCCAGAAAGAATGCCAGACAGAATGTCAGAATGGATGCCAGATCGAATGCCAGAAAGAAGGTCAGAAAAATAATTTCACAATAGATTGCCAGAAAGTATGTCAGAACAGATGTCAGATAGAATGCCAGAAAGAATGTCAGATAGAATGCCGGTAAGAATGCCAGTAAGAATGTCAGATATTTCATGCCAGAAAGAATATCAGATATTTCATGCCACGGTCAAAAATCTCAGCAATTTAGACACACCCACATCATTGGTCAATCATTGGTCAAATCTTCACCGTGTCACCAGCTGTGCTCCGCAGTTGTGGCGGACCTTTTCCAGACTGCCTCATCGAGGCATCGTTGGTGAGGCCCATTGAGATGGCAGCTGCGGATTTGGTGGATATCATTGTGGCTTGGTGCTCCACCAAAATGGGAGGGGCACCATTGGGTTATGGTAATCAAACATGGCTAGCTGGAAAATCCCCTATAAATATCTATAAATGGAGTTTGTTTCATGGGAAAGTCATCGAACTAAAATGGTGGATTTGCCGCGTTTGATTTTAGTGGAGGGTACTGTATGGGAAGTTTGATAGGAACCAAAATTATGGGAAACGCGCTTTCAAGAAATGGGCAACAAAGTTATAGCATGTTCAGCCTGATGTTATAGCAATTTTGATAGGAACAACTATGTGGAAAACTGATGATGATACACCTTCTTACAGCTTTATTACTGTACATCATGAAAATTTGTGGCTTACACAATTTTCATTCAAAATGTGATACCTCACTGGGAGGATTCACAATTGTACTGGGAGGTTGATGGCATTTCTTCGGTGAGTATTTGCTCTTGCCTTTCGAACTGAAACCAACACATGAGACGTGTTTCATGCAAGATCACGCAAGACAAGGTGATAAAAAAATTGGATAGGTCAGAGAATCCCAGCCTCCTGTGCAGCCCGTATCTTTTTCAGAGATGCTGCTGGTAGTGTGATCACCCAGGTCTTTCCGGAAGTGTATGGTGTAGAGGATATCCTCTCCTGCCCTCCCCAAGAGGAGGATTTGCTCCCCAAAGCTGGCGCCCTTGCAGCCCTTGCATGTGAAGCCGATGAGCCGCGACCCTGGTGGGTGAAAGTGGCTTGTTTGGCCAAAAAATGGCATGTGATTGTGGTGCTGGGAGTTTATGATTGGGGTCCTTGCACGGCTGGTCCTGATCCCTTCCTTCATCGGCCCTTTCCTTGTGTGGGAAATCTCACGGTTTTCAACAAGGCAGTTGCCTTTGGCGTTGATGGTACTCTGCTTGCAGTGCATCACAAGCATCACATGGCTCACTCGCTGGGCCCTGCCGAGAGCATCAGCATCAGGCGTGATGGAATCGTGTACAATCCCAGTCCATTGGGAGTCTACAATGACGATGTTGCGGCAGCTTGGCCTGTTCCAGTTCCTCCGATTTGCTTCAGCTGCCAGCTGGGGTTTCTCAATATTTTTTCTATTGGTTTCATGATCTTTCATGATGTTTCATGGATCAAGCGTAACGATTGCTAAGGATGTCACCGTGTTCACATCCCACTTTGGTGTGAAATTTGGCATCATCATTTGCCACGAAATGAATTTTGCTTCCCCTCTGCGTTCGATGATCAGCAATGGTGTGCGCGACATCATCTTCCCGACTCAGTGGGGTGGAGCTTATGGCGGAAACTTTGCTGCCACGCAGAGTGGCTTTGCAGTTGTTCATCAGGTGGCTCTGTCCATCAGTTTGTTTATGTTTGAAGATGTTGGAAAACCATGGAAAACACTGGTTGATCGTCAGTTTCCCTCGTTTTCCCGTCATTTTCCCCATAATATTTTCCCATATTTTCCCTATTGAAATAGCATCGACTCGCCATGTCGGCTGGGGTTTTTCGCTGGGTTTTCGCAGGTGAACCTCCTCTCGGCCAATGGGATGTCTGGAGGCTCCGGGATTTGGCCTGCAGATCCCAAGAGGGCTCCAGAAGAATTCCTGGCCACCGCATCTCGGCCGGAGGTTTGTTTCTGCGGTGATGTTTTTTTTTGGTGCCAAAATTTGATGATTTTATGATGATTTTATGACATTTATGACTGCCAAAAAGGTCATCAAATATCAACTAGTGACAACATGTAACATGGTCATATGATAGTCATTGACTGGTTGATTCTTTGCCGAAAAAAAACGGCTTGTCATCAAAACAGCTGGAGGCAAGCATGCCTGATTCTCCAACACCACAATGGTTTGGTACTATGGACCTTGACAGCCCTGCAGAAGCTATTCACCCACCTTTGATGGCACCTCCGCCGGTGTATCCAATGATTTCAAAGACGCAGATGTTGAACGCCGCGAACGCATCTGGAATCATTGAATCTTGGCCTGAGCTCTTTTGTCCAAGCATGTTTTCTGCTGCTTCCCAGAGTTGAATCTGTTTCTTTCTACTTTAAGCTTTTTAAGCGTCTTGGTTGTGGGGCAAGTCGGGTTGTTTGCTGTACTTACAAGAGTGATAGAGTGATAGATTCTGTCGCGTGACTGCTTGAATGTGCACTGTAAGCCCAACAATTGCCGCTTTTCATTCCTGCATACTCTGGTTACCAGATGATGCCTTGATAATCAAGCAGATCAAGCAGTTTCCACCCTGCACCTAGGAACTGAATCTTCCAGACGTGCGTTGCCACTTGGACTTCCAACATGCGAAGCTTAGTGGCGGCAGCTTTCTCTTTGGTGCAAGCGCTGGCATCAACACCGTGGGCATGTTCGAGGCATCCTGTTGGATCTTCAGCTGTGATCTCTTGCTGCAGCCCAGCAAGCTGATCCCCGATCTGGCGCGAATTGCTTTGTGGCCCATCACCAAGGAAGACTACAGCTACCTGGGGTTGGCCGAGTCGCTGATTTTTTTGTTTCTTTTTCCAATGGGAAATCCAGCTACAGTCACTCCAGCAGAAATGGGGAATGATGTGGAATGTATGGGAATAAGGCAGAATTTCTATGGTTTATGGCATGAAGTCCAAGGCTATTGTCGCCAAGCTGGTGAACCAATCAGCTTCTCTGGAAGGCCTCGGTTGGAAATTGAGGCTCCAGCCAGCAACGTGTTCCTTCCCTTGGGCCAATGTCAGGACACCTCCATCCCTGTTCCACGCCCAAGTGCTGAAGCAATTTCAACGTCGTCTCAGCGCTTGGTGTTGCCCACCCAATGTCCGATGAGCTTCGGGGGTTTGCGTTCCTTCGCACAGGCAGAGTTTGAGGAACCACAATGCCCCAATGGCTTTTGCCCAAGTCCCAGCCTGTGCAACGACACGTCGTGGGAGTTGAAAGCTGATGCCTGGTGTTATGTAGTACCAGGACGTGGTATTGAAACCACAGTCAGCCAGACTGTTTATGTCTAGACTCATCACCTCCAATGCCCTTCCATTGAAATTTCGAGCCATTGAAGCATTGAAGCCTGCTTTAAAGTGTACAGATTGACACAGATTGACAACATTAATGTCAATGCTTGGTGGTCAACTGACAGCCCGCGTCGGCTACAACAATCTGCGAATTGGGAAACAAGTGAACTATATATGGAGGATTTGGACCACACAAGAGCCGACTCTTCTGAACTGAATGCAGCGACAGCACATTGTGCTGATTGAAATTCCATGGGTACTGTACAGTTGGTTGATGATATCAGGATGGTATAATAGTGTCGTGTCTGGCCTGGTACCAAAATTACCAAAATTGGACGTCCTCGAGCAGCCAAAATGACTTCCGTATGACTTCCGTGAAATTGGACCAACCTAGAATAAGTGCATCGATTTGACCCATGATTTGGTAATAGGATCAATTTGGACATGCAAATACTGGGAGGTGATGGCAGTACCTGGTAGGTGTGTCGCTATGTTGAGCCAGATTGACATGCCAGGTCCATCCCCGCGGGAAGACCATGAACCGCGGATGTACTGGTGCGCATGACCCAAGATGACCACGGGTCACCATGGTTGGCCAAATGGTCCCGAAGCTGACCTAATTTCTGGGTTCATCTGGGTTCATTATCGTCCCTTGCTTCCAGCTGTAGTCAGGTGGTCTTCCCCACAACGCCAAACCGGTTTCACATCATTTGCTGCTTAAGGTACGAGACTTTGACGCAGCATGCTTGGGCAGGCTACAGAGACGTGCGTGCAAGTCTCAGACAGCACTACTGATAAAGTCACGGATCTATACAAACACTTGAGATTCAGATAGTTTTCATCAACTTTTGAAGTTTAAAGTGAGAATTTGATTCTCACTGCAGTTCTTTGCATTTGTTTGTTCCTCACCATCCTGGGAGCAGGTTCCAGCGCAGAGACGGAAGAGAAGCTTAGGACTGGCCACGGCATGCCGCGGCATGCCGCGGCATGCCATGTAGGGATCATTCTAAGTGGACTTGACAGGGCCATGGGCCTATGGGCGCTGCCTTTGTTGGAAGGAAATACTTCGTTTGGGCGGATGCGAGAAAACCTGCCAAGAACAAGACAGAACGTCGGGAGATTGAAGAAGCCCGGAATTTACAGCGGTCAAGGCAGGACCTGATTTTCCCTCAGCTTGGGAGGGTGACTTTCAGATACTTTCAGCATGTTCTTGAGGATAAGGAGGCCCATCACTCATCGCTCATTGTTTCAAAAATTGATGCCGTTGATCTGCCTGATGGACAGATAGTGACCTGCACTATTTTCTTCGTGTACGTTGTGCTTAGCAGTGAAGCACTCCAGAAAATCAGAATATGCATAATTATATATTATATATAAAATTATAAATCAAATCCACTTGCACCCATCAAAGAGAAGACCGGATCTATAAACAATATATATACATATATATACATATATATATATATATGTACATATTTTTATCTATGTATATGATTGTAATAATGTATATATATATATATTATAAATAGAAATATTACATATGTATTTCTTCAACATGATGACTTTGCTATATACATCTCTTGGCCTGCCAAATCTGCAGCGCAGGCTTCTCTATGGGGAGGAAGAGGAAGTGGATGAAGCTGCCGACTTCTGAGAGCTCTATGCCCCTTTTGGGTAAACCAAGGAGAGCATAGATGAGAAAAATGACAATGATGAGCAGCAAACTAGAATAGTCATTCAGAATAGTGACAATGATAGTATGACAATGATCTTCAATGTTTACAAGTGGCTCAGATGATAAAACATAATGATAATATGACACTATGTCACCAGTGGTAAATTAGAATGGTGACAATGATAAATGAAAAGAATCAGTGTCTATCAAAAGCGGCCCCCTGGCGTGGCAATTGAATGACTTGGAATAATGTTTGCTGATACTCCACTGAAACGGCTGAAATGACATGTTCCAAACTTATAATGAACGCCTCACAAAGATCGTGAACTCGTTGCACATTGAGTTCAATCAAGTAGGGGTCGGATGCAACAGCATGCAGCATGCAGCAACCATTGGGTGTATCCCATGGTATCCCCAATTCCCAGGTCGACGACGATGATCCAGAGCGAGACATGTCTCTCTTGGAACAACTTCAGCAGGTCCCAGCCGGATGAGAGTCAGCTACAAGCTGGGACACCACCAATGGAAAAAATACTTTGGCAACTTTCTGACTTTCTGAGACCTGATACCTGGCTTTTGAGTTTGCCAGCTATGATATTATTCCACTGGTGGATCTCAGTGACCAGCTATGAACAGCTTTTTGACACCTGAGCCACAAACGTCACTGGCGATATCTGGCGATGGCGGCATGGCAGGACGATAACCCCCGGTTCAAAACTGCGGAAGGCCACCGAACTTGGTGTCCCAAGGACCTCACGGCACGCAGAGTCTTCTTGCAGATGCTACTGTAGGATATCTGGAGAATTTTGATTTCCAACTTGAACATATTATTGAATTATATTCATTTTTTATATTCATATATATTGATTCATATTATATTCATATTATGTTTATTTAGCAAATCTGGCAAATCTAGTTCCTTTAGGTTCTTTTTACCTTACATGTTCTTCACTTCATGGACTCACGGACTAGTTCTAGGTCTTGATTCCAGCCTTGTCTCTTTCCCCGGTCACCTTAGCTTAATTGTAATGAGATTTTGGCAGTTGGACTTTACCAATGTCAGGACTCATGCCTGGGCGAAACAGTGGTCACCTTGAGTTTGAATCTCAGCTTCTGCAAATGATGGAGACTTGGGATGGAGCTGAAAGTTCGTTTATCATGCCTCCGTCATTTGGTGATCCAATTGATCAACCGAATCAACTGGTTCAATCTGCAACCTGAAATTGGTAGAAATTGATGAGAATCGCCCAGAGATCGCCATGAAATGCGGGGCATTGCGGGGCATTCCCAGGAATTTGATGTAATTTCTACATGGTCTGCAGGAAAAATTGGTCAACGTCCCCATGACTTGGTGACTTGGTGACTTGGTGAGGTGCTTACGGGACGATCTTTGGCGAAATGGCCCTGCAAAATGACAAGGATCGGGCAGCCACCATTGAGAGCGGCTCTCAGAGGTGAAACATGGTGAAACCTGAAGAAATTCCAGGAGAGACATTGATGAAAATTTCTATGGAAAATGTATGGAACATGTAGAATGATTGGCTTGTGGTGAAGTATACACCTAACCGTCACAATGCAAGCTATATGCTGTATATTGTGTATATATGGACCACATATATATATATACTATATACGTTTCTAGTGTATTCATTGTTAATGGTTTTCTTCTGTTCATTGTTAGCTGAGGTGCACTCAAGATTGTGAGTTCATGGTGATCCCGCGCTTTGTATACAGGTCGTAAATTTTCTTCCGCGGCTACGTTATTGAACCCATAATGAAATGCAGGGGGTTTTGTGTGGCATTTGGCATGTGATTTTGGTTTGTCTTTTAATTTTCATATCTAGGAAGTGTTTCCGACGGGTTGGGCAGACGGTAGGTGATGAGGCGCATGGAAGGAGTAGCTGAGTAGCTATTTATTCTCAGATTCTCAGACAGTGATTTCTCAAGCCCTTTGAGGGATTAGTCGATCAAGAAATGCGATATTTTCCAGCACTAGATCATGCATGATGAATTAACCCAATCATTGGAATATATATATATATAAATACAATAAAGCAGTAGCAAGTCACACAAGCATGGAATCAATTTCTGATAACTGCACTAAAGAACATGAACCCAGCCGTGCAGGCGCATTCTGAAGGAATTGACCAGTAGATCTTCAGAGACTTGGCCAGATTTGATGCAAAGTTTCGAAACATCCAAAGTGTCCTGGCCACTGGCATCAAATGGCTATGGATCAATACCTATTAATACCATTTTTAGTGGGATGAACATCCATTTACCAGCTATTTTGATGTTCACCAGGGGTACTATTGGTTTTGACCCACTGCCAAATGAAAGTCAGAATCCCTTCCAGGACAGTCTGAAGGCAGTGGGAATTCTGAGGTGTGGCAGAACTTTGAACATGGCAGAACTGTCGACTGCAAATGTTGACTGTTGAAGAACAATTGGAGCAGCAAATAGAGTAGACACTGAAACTGCCATGTGCCCTGAAAACATGGTTTAAAACGGTTTCTTCAGTGAAACTCCAACTGCACAAGTTTAGAAGATATGATAAGATATGGACAATTTTGGACACCTGCTAGCCCCTGGCAGACAACTGGACTTCTTTCGAGAAATGGAGGCTGGAAGTGGTCCCTGCCGCGGCTGGATTTCTTGCATCACCGTCCACTGCCCTGACTTGGCAGAGGCTGAGCGGCCTGGAGTCTGTGATCGTTTGGCGATGAAGTTGGAGTGGCAGGCGGAGGGCAGATCTATTCTCCCGGCTCTGCTTAAGGTCATATTTGATTTTACTGTGATATATTCGGGGAATCTACTATAGGCATCTTTTTTGGCAATGTGGTTTTTCATTTGAGCCCTTAAGCAAAGCCAACTTTTTTTTTTTGGGCCATCAAATGCCATCCACATCTCCAAAATCATCCAGTGCTCCCATCAGTTCCCCATCAGTTCCGGCTCCAGGACTGTCCTCCTGGCCAGGCCTGGCCCGGGGAATGAGGGACCAGGGACCTGTCAAGGAGATCTTCTTCACTGGAATCATAGTTAATAAGGGAAATCATCCCCAAATGGGCCTTAATTTTTAGGTTAGTGAAATATTATAATTTACCCAGATGCATCTGGTTTGCTTTTCTTGTTCTTTGCTTAAAGGAAAAGATCTGCAGACTGGAAGATACTGGAAGCATCAGCCCGCAGTCTGCAAAACCCCAAACCAGGGCCGATTGAAGCGCTGCACTTATTTTCGGTGTCACAATGGTCTTGGAGATTTAAAGATATTTAAAGCATTTTGGTTTGTGACCGTCAACATTTGGTATACTCATTTTGTCATTTTGATTTGATTTGCGTTGAAGGTAATTTTTAGACAGCGGGATCCTCCGGGCAACTGCTACGTCTTGTGTGAGGGTACGTGCATAGCTCAGAGAAAGCTCGGGTTGCCGTGTTGATCTGGTCATCAGATCCATGATATTGGATGACAACATGTCATCTTTGTCCGAAAATCAATGTGATGTGTCAATGATTTATCATTGAATGATCATATTTCCCACATACAACACAAGATTCCCATGAACATAATGGTTGTATCTGATGTGATACTTCACATATCATCATCCCATGGAAACGTCATTATCCCATGTTATCCCCCCATTTTCAGACACCACTGTGGCTCAGGACTGATGTCTACATCTGCAGCCAAGAGGTGGATACTGCAGATACCCAATGGTCGACTTGGATGATTTATGATGATTTGGGGGCGCCCATGGTCGCCCTATTTTAGGACCCCCCATATAGAATGTCGATCCCGATCCCGGAGTTTTTCGATCTACCCTGATTCGGGATGGCCATAGTGGCCCCCAAAATTCTGATGTGATTCGCTACTGGCTACCGCAATGATCAACAGCCCAGGGGTGTTTTTAGAATCCGGAGAATCTGGGTGGATAGTGTACTATAGTGTTGAGACAGACACGCAGCATGTAGACTTGGTTTGCACCAACCTCATTTCAGAACTCATCACGTTATCTGAGTGAAGAAGATTGTAGAGAATCTTGGCAAGAGCGCGCAAGTTCCAATCCCGTTTGGTGCAGCATTTTGCATGTGCTGTCAGTTCCTGCCACAAGAAGGGGAGAAGCGGAAAGTCAAAAATGCTCGAAGCTCAGAATGCCTCAAACATGTTCAATTTGTAATGAATTTGTTTTCTTCTCAAAGGATTGTTTCAGAGACTTAAATGCAACTGGAATTCAATACCGTCCCGCTGCTGCACTAAGAAAATGACTCCGCGCACATGCTTGATGTATGATCTGTCGCAGTGACTCTGGCATGCATATCCATGTATGACCAGTGCCTTTTCAGCTGAAGCTGGGAGTGCCTATCATTAATGCAGTTGCAAGGTTGGACAATCTGGAATGTTGGCTTGAACGCTTTGGAATTCATTTGACTAATCTTCGAAACACTATTTCTTAGCTACACTGGTGTTTTTTGCTTGCTAGTGTCACACTGGCCAGGCTTTTTACACTTGTGGATGTGCGGCCCTCACAAAACAGTTCTTGCAGTTGTGACAGACAAAGCACAGCAGCAGGAAACATTTCACCTGACCATCAACCTGACCTCCTCGCCAGGCCAAACGAGCTGGCAAAGGAGTCTTCACGAAGGAGTTCGCTGACTTTCAGTTGTTGACTTCTCCAAGAAATTGAACACTCCAAGTTTTCAACGCCTTTGATACCTTGCAGGATCTGTGAGTACACCCTGATTGACATGTTTGATCATTTTTGTATAATATTTTTGTATTTTGTATTTTGCTGTAATTTTGTAGTTGTGTCTCCGAGTCTATCCAGTGCAGAGGTAGCCGCGCAGTTGCCCACAGCCCGTGATTGGCCCGCAGAGGACTCACGGTTCCTGACCCTGGAGAAGTTCAGCAGCTTCGACAAGGCCGTCAGCTGATGAACAGATGTCAGCTGATGGGTCTTTTGCTTTGATGGTTTCTGCACGTGTTTTCCATGGTTTTCCCATTCCGAATGATCCAAAGATATCCAACGTACATGCTGGTGAAAGGAGAAAACATAAAGACAACTGAGCAAGCAAATATATAGCAGTTTTGTTCTAGATTGGTTTGGCTGCTATTTGTCTGGCGTGTCAGCCAATGCCAACTTTCCCTGTTGCAATTGTGCCGCGTACCACACAGCACTTGTTTGACTAATGTGGGTTTGTCTGGAAATGAAGTACCCCCAATTCCAATGGACTATATTTGTTTCCATTGAATAGCCGTTTCTTTTTCAGACGCACAACCGTATTTTGTCATAACAGTTAGAACATAACAGTTAGCACATCCAGGACTCCATGCTCGGGAAGAAGGTGGCGTCTTTAAATGCGTTGCTCGACTGAGACCATCAAATTTTCTGTGGTCATTGCCATTTGGCTATGGATCAATACCTATTAATACCATTTTTAATGGGATGAACATCCATAAATCCCAGCTATTTTGATGTGAACTACAGGGGTACTATTGGTTTTGACACACTGCCATTTGTGGTCAGTGTTGATCGATGCTCCTTCAAACTGAGGCCTGCGGTCTTTGGAGAGCTTGCACTGAAGAATACCCAGCCCCGAGCAGCGACGATCGCGTTTGAGGCTAAGCAAAGAAACTTTGGCATGTGCCCCAGAATCCCGGTCATGATTTTGACATATTCATACTGATTTTGACATATTCAAAAGTTGAATTTTTAATGTTCAATCATTTGTTCGTCTTGATGACGTCAGTGTTGGTGCTTCAATGCTCTCTCCTTGCGTTCCAAGGTGCAAAACTGCCTGCCGTTTGATGATTCTAGAGAAGCAGGGCCCCAAGGAACACCATGTCCCAGGCAGTGAATCAACGGTGAAGATCAAGGGGCGCGAGCCCAAATGATTCGAGGAATCACTTGATGGGAGTGCTTACTGACGCCAGGTGCTTGGCAACTTACTGACTTCAAGTTTAGACAGCGGCACTAACAGAACCAGTGGTCGTGCTTTTGGACATCGTTCCGGAAACACAAAACACCGTCGTGTTTTTTTGAAACGGAGCTTCAGGTCATGGCAAGAATTCACTTCTTCAATGACAGACTACCTGGAGTTACAGATGGTGAATACAGGCGGGAGAAGTTGTACAATGCTGTTCGAGTCGTTCGAGAAATTTCGAGAATTTGCAGCGCTTTGGGAAGTGCTGCTGCCTTTTTCGAAAGCATAGCTGTTTTGGGTAATGTGGTACCCAATGCCATAAACGATCAACGTATCGTTTAGGGAGCCCTGCGCCAGGATAGATCATCCTTCCAAGCATTTCAGTCTCCGTGCATTTCCTCAGGGTGTTCTGCTCAGATTGGCGGTGCAAGTGAAACAGTTGAAGTTCTGCTTGGAAAGCTTGGAGAACAGATGAAACTTTCATACAAGATCTGCTGGTGAATCGATCCTGGAAGCTGTTGTTTTTTTGTTTGGAGCAATGCAACCTTTAACGGGATGAACAAATAATATCAAATAAATAGGTATAGCCAATTATAGCCACTGTAGTGAGAAGATTTATTTTACATAGCCCTAAGCTTCTTAGACATGATTTTTCGTTTAGGACTTGCACTAGAACTCATGGCCATCATGACCTCACTTACAAAGATGAACCCCATTCACATCCCATCATTCTTGAGATCTTCAAAGTCTTCAGGCTCTCATTTTGACCTAATTTGGCAGAGAATGCAATAACTTGATATTGTTTCTTTCCTTAGAGCGTTGACACTCACGAAAACATCCTGCACGCTCGATGCATGAGTTTCCATGATGCAGAAAAATCGCATGTTTGATGATGGATTCTGCAGGCTTTCAGTTCATGTACGAGGCACGCATTTGCGGTGCTGCTTGGATCCTTCTGGCAAAACACTCCTATTGGGAGTGCAGCAGACCATGCATACACAATAAATCACAATAATATAATAATATATATTATAATAATGTAATATAATATTATCTTTTTTTTTACATATAATGTATATTATATATATATAAGCATCTCACAGATACACCTAATATATATATATATATCATTATATACATATATATAAGCATATCACAGATACACATAATATATATATATACATTATTATATATACATATAACACACATATACAAGATCATTACATATATAATTTATAATATATCATCATATTATATAATATATAATCTTATCAGAATCTAAATATGTATACGGTGTGTGTTATGGACTTTGAGAAAAAATGGCAAACCTGGCGATCCCAACCACGAGTTTCGAAACGTTGCAGGGCATCGTGATGACAGAGCCTGCGATCTACGTCCTGAAATCTGGGACCGTTGAGTTCAAAAGATACAGGCCACCGGAGCCACGGATGGCGGAGAGTGACATGGGAGAGTGCCATGAGTGCCAGATGTCCAACTGCCACACTTCAAGCTGAGCGATATTTTTGACTGAGAAAAATATTTTGATCTTTAGAGATGATTTGACATGGTTGAACAAACTTGCAGCTGAATCTACAGCTCCAGCGCCCTTTCCTTCCACGCATCAAAGGCAAGGGAGGTCAAGTTTCAGAAGGTACAGAGATTGACCATTTGAATGCCTTTGGCCTCTTGAGTGACGCAAGGGAAGCATCTTTCATAATTTTTAACTGCTTCAGTTTGGAAAGATACGCAGATCCCTGATCTAAAAAGTGCAGGAGAGTCAGCCACAATCCCGCCTACGTGCTATCACACCTGCCCTTGGTGGAATCGTCTTGGAAGTCGAGTGCTCACATTGGCACTTTCTGGGGCAGGGAGTTTCGGTCCTCAAAATCAACACAGTGTTCCAGCAAACCTTCCATTCAGCATTGTATTTCCAGAACACTAGAGACACTAGAGAGGAAAAAGGTGCATGGGCAATGCAACTACTTGTAAATTGGTGGTGACTTTAGCATGTCTCATCTCCATTCATGCTTTACAGAAGATGCCCCCTGTAGGCTCGCAGAAGAATGTGGCAAGTACAGCAAAATGAAATGGCTACGAATCCAAACCTCTAAACCAATATCTACAATTAACCCCGATTTAGATTTTGATCCGTACCCATTTACCATAAGCATTATGGTGTTCGACCCTGGAATCACCTCATAACCCATTTATCCCAGCTATTTTGGTGTTCACCAGGGGATTGCATTGGTGACTCCCAAATCATAATCAGGTCTCGCACAGCAAGGCCAAGCACTGGATGAAACGGAGCTGTGGCATGCTGTGGTTTGTGCAGAATAGGCTTTTTCGGCAAGCCACATTAATTGGATGCGAAGTTGAATTGCAACATCACCTTGATTTCTCAACAACTGGCCACAAGTCTGTGGCTCAAGATCATTCTATCCCAAAATTGCATGGTTGAATGACAAGCCAGCTGTCTACTGCAAAATTGGATGGCTGAACATAGATGAAAATAGTAGGTGATTTCAGTTGTTTGATCAATTTTCATCATTTTTGTGGCTTTGGTGACGAGGCCACGCACGGGTGTTGCTGGCAGCCAGACGTCGCTTGATGCAAGTGTTCTGAACAAAACTGTGTGGAAATTGAGAGATTTTGAGCTTTGGGCCTATGCAAATGAATATTACATATATATATAATCATACATTTAGGGTACGTCCCCCTGTCTTAAAAGGGCAGTGATTATATTATATAAACATATCATATATATATACATATATATATACATATATATATATATATTCGTATATATTTCTTTAGGTATATTACAGTATATTCTGATGTTTAAGACACACATTCTCATGGTTGTGGTGAAGCAGGGTACTCCGTGTATTGATCTCTGCTAAACTGCAGAGTAGTAGTTTTCGTTGGTGCCTCCGCAGCTGTTATCTCTCAGACTTTTCAAGCTCTTTGCAATTTCGAATCATTGTTGTAGATCCAGTGAGTTTGTAGCACTTGTGTTAGACTGTTTGACGTTTAGACCCATACAAAGCTATGACATCATGCGACCATATGAACCATTTTGCGACTTCTCCCAGCTTTTAGCCATGGAAGCCCGGGTGGTGTCTCGTGCCATTGTGAAAGGTCAACACTTCGCAGAGATCACTCTGCTGTTGGACAATGGCGAACTGTCCACCTTTCTGGGCCCTGCTCGAAAGAATCGCCCGGAGGCGTTGAAAGACTGCTTGGAGCTTCGGAAAATCGCAGCGAAATGCACGGACGACTTGAAGTTGCTTCAGCTCAAAAAGCGGAAAGTGGAATTGGAAGATACGACTTGGACAGTGAAGCTTGGACAGTTCTGAGACTTATGCTTGTGTTCTTTTGGAGGGGGTTGTTTGCATGACAATCCCCTGCCTCTGCGCTGTTTGGATCTGTTTGGTCATACCAGTAGAATGACATGGTAGAAGTAAGGAAAAAAAAATCAATCTTCCTTTTTCTCAAGCAGCAGATCACCGGCAATGGAACGCTGTGGCCCTTCCCAGCCATGTAACTGACTGCTCCATTTCATTTTGTGCCGGAAATGAAAGGACATGGTTCGCCATTTCATCACATTATATATATAATTATATATATATATTAATGAAAAATGGGAAAAATATGGGGAGACAATGGAACAATTTGATAGAACCATATAGAACAAATAACCACCCCTTAGTTTCAGCGATGTTTCCTCAGTGAAGGAAAGATCTCGGAGGACGGTTGCTGGATGGTGCAGAAGGTCCTCCCCCTGGCTTCAAGCCGCCATCTTGGATGCCTGCTCCAGCAGAGGCTGGCGGATTGGGTGGAGCGCCTTTGGGCTATGTTTCCCCTGGAAAATACCGGGCTCCAGTGCCAAAGGCTAAAGAGGAGGACTCAGTTTACAGCTTCAAGACAAGGAAACTGATTGTGGAATGTGCTGATGCTGATGTCAGGGACCTGGTGGCTACAAATGATTGGGAATCCAAGGCCAAAGTTGCCTTGCAACAAGCTTTCAAGAAGTTCGGTCCTGTGCTTGAAGTTCGTGTTGGTTTTAAGAGTGATGATGGAGAAAAGGTGGCTTGTATTCGTTTTGCTAGCGCCAAAGCCGTTGATCTGGCCATGAGCAAAGCCCAACGTGGTTGGCTGCCCGTGGGTGACAAACACGTTCGTGTGCGGCAACCTGCCGTCGAGGCCAAGGCGGAATGCCGGAGCTTCGTGGCGCCGCGCCGTGCGGCGCCGGCGTTGGAGTCAGCTCCCAACAAGAAGAAGCTCCGACCGAACGAACGCTTCGCCTCCAAGCAGGACGCGGACGACGACCCGTCACCTCCCCAGGCACCAACTGAACCATCTGGAACCTGTCCAGGCCCAACTCCAGGCCCAAGCCCGCCACCAGTGGAAGCTGTCCCAGTGGAACCTGATCGGCCAGTGCCGTTGGCAATGGATGAAGCGACCTCAGCTGAAGACCGAGAGGTGGCCAGTGGAGAAGAAGAGATTACACGAGAGATGAAGGGTTTGTTGCTGAAACCTTTCTCGCAACAGAAGAAAGCCTTGAAGGCCATTCGTGCAAAATGGCATCCAGACAAGAATCCAGATTCTGTGGAGGTTGCCACTCGTGTATTCCAATTTATCCAAGCACATGATGAATGGTTGCAACATCACGGGCTTGCGTAGCCGGAAAAATGTGAATCATGCGGAATCAGACAGCTTTGCTGATGCTGTGCAAGGTGTCTCAACAGGACCAGAATTGTTTGCTTTGCACAAATTTGCAAGACACAGTGGTTTTGAATGGTTTTGAGATTATGGAGGTTCTAAGGATGTTGTAAGCATGAACTGGATGACATACGTTGACATACATCTATCATGTTTGATACCAGTATGATCCGATTGACTTGCACCGGGTTTTACGGTAGATCCGGAATCTTTACAGCTGGCCCTACCATATGCAGTTCGACACCTATCATTTCGGGCCCACAGAGTGGCGTAAAGTGACTAATACAAGGGGATTTTGATAATTCCTCGGTCATTGTACTCTACGATCTGTACGTTATTATCGCGGTGAGATGCCATACCTGCTGAATTCGTCGAGGTCCAAAAAGAGCAGAGGTCAAAGCATGGCAGCCCAGCTGTGATCAAAGGACACCTTGGAAACGCCGGGTTGCACCGGCGAATGGTTCATGAATAACGGAACTCTTTACATCATCTAGGCATATCTAGGCAACGAATGGAATTGATATTGTGCGGATAGCAGACTTAGCACTCGCCTCGGTACTTGCTGAGACTTACTCACTGTAAGTCCTGTAATCTGGTAGCTAAAAGTATCTAACAGATTCTAAATGTATCTTTCAGTACGGCGGGAGCGGGAAAAACTTGCTCCAAGCTCACGTTCGCAGACACGAAGCTCATCATTTGATCAGCATTACTTTATATAAATAACAATTTTAAAACACATAATTTCCAGAAATTTCAATTCGAGACAGTCGATGGCTTTCATACTGTACAAGATGTTTTTGACTTTGTGCATCAATGCAAAACACGTATAATATAGTTTTCACCATTACTTACATCGGTGATGGCATTGCTTCTCAGGTGGACGAAAGCATACGCCTAGAGAGGACCTTGGAGAGGAGGTCTGCTCGGTTCCGGGGCAAACTCCAATGACTTTGATTTTGTTGTTTGGATTTACTGCTTTTACATTATGTTGATGCAACTGTTTCTTAGCAGTCATGAAATCCGTCGTTAGTCTTTTGTGTCAAGCCTTTTTTTCCTTGTGCCAAGTGTTGTGAAATATTATGAAACCTTGGGTTAAGTGTTCCCCAGAAAGGGCTGGAAGCGGCAAATATGTGAAACCTTTTTGGTTCAGGAGTCTTCGACAGTCTTCGGGTACGGGAGCATGTTTGTTTTTTCAGATTAAGATAGAGCGCAATTTCTATATAGATCTATATAGTCTTTCATTCTTGCAATTCAGTATTAGGGGAGCAGAACGCCTAGTGTCAGATTCAGTGTCCGAGATCCGCGTTTTGTCTTCGGTGAAGGTTGTTTGCGACATAATGGAAGACGAAGGGGCGTCTTGGTTGATAAATAGAATTGCAGCACATGTTCAACTGACTCGAATCTTTCACCATCTTTCACCAAATTACACAGTACGTACAATCGTTGTCTACCCAAAGTCATCTCAGGTATTCTGCACTTTGCCCTTTTTTCCACTTCATTGCGTGGAACCATTCAGCGCAGCATTCTTAGTGCGGCAGTTTGACCTCTACTTGGATCGCTGCAGACCAAAATGGCCATTGAAGACACCATTGGATAACTGACCAGGTCACATTTATGCCAATTGATTATGATCAATTAATATCAATTAATTAATATTAATTATGTATATATTGTATAAATATATCATATATATATGATATATACCGTATTAATCCATATTATACCACTGTCCACTGTCCATGTGAAGACTCTCCTTGAGGTGGTGGCTTCCAGCCCCATCGAGGCACGGATCTTTTCCGGCCTATCGTCCGGGGCCTATCGTCCGAGCCCAGGGATCCGAGCGGTCCGAGCCCGGTGGCAGGTCTTCCATGCAGGTGGGCAAGATGTGAAAGCCCTGACCTAAGATCTGCCAGTCGATCTGCCAGTCGTTTCTCAGGATTTCCATCCTTTTTCAGATTTCACAGGTAAACAACAGGGATTTCATGGGTATATATGGGGATAGGATAAGATAATCAACCATGATCAGCGGCACCATTTGGGTCTGTCCAAAAACATCCAAACACTGGGAATGCGCTGTATGCACCAACATATTGCCGTTCAAAACTTGGATTTCAGTTGCGTCACTTGAAGCTGCGCCCAGAAAATTGCCGCGGACAGTCTTGCAAGTATCCGGAAGCACTTGCTCTGGCAGTTGAAGGCTGGATACATCGATTCATCACAGATTCGAAGGTTGAAAACTCCCTTTTTTACCCATGGTAAAAAACATCTCCAAAAAATGATTCTCCTGTGCTCCATGATTTGGCCAGGAGCGAATCAGGCTGGGAGAGCTCGGCTGGTTCTTCCAGAACTTTTGATTGCGAAACACTGAACAAAATCGTAGTGCAATTTGAGACAATGGTTGATTGAAGCAAGAGGGTGAACAATTGTTCAGCCATGGACAATGGAAGATTCTGCGACGATATTGACCGTGGCCCTTGAAAATCCACGGACAGCTGTGGATCAGGAGAGCACCAAAAATGGAGCACAACATGAAGTGAATATGAGCCAATGCTTTATAAAGGTCTATAAAGGTCTGTTTACCACAGGACTGTGGCAAATGTTGTGGGGAAGCAAGGCACCGATCATTTGATTCAATTATTTTTTGCTGCTATGCTGAATGCAAGGAAGCTTCCGGAAGAAGTCGTAGCAAGCTCAAAGACTGACACGAGATGATGGGTGTACGGTGTACTTATCAAGAACATTCAAGGACTGTACTTCATGCTGCCAGTAGAACTGTAATGCAGCTTTTCTTTCAACATTGTTGAAACGACGTTGCAACTGCGCTCCAACTGAAGCACTCTGAGGCAGAAAGTGAAACTGCTCAGATGTTTGACACGAGAGGCTGGGCGGCTGGGCGTTGCCTTCTGGTGCTTGTGAGAAAGCCCTGGCTAGATATTAATAGATGCACATAGTATCATAGTGTATGTATAAATATCAATGCGCTCACATTTTGCATTACTACAATTGTTATGAATTACCAGCATAATATTCCAGCAATTTCCAGGCACTACAAGTGGTTCTTTCAACTGTTTTTCACTTATCTACGGCACTAGCAGGTAGTACATGTTGGCACAAGATGGTAGCACTGTACTAGTTTGGGAGTTACTGGCCACGTGTGTGGTTTTTTCATGTTTTTTCCCTGACCAGGTGTGGTCTGCCATCTACTGCAATCCTCCACGAAAACACACTTGTGAGAGTAGTGATGCTGATAATAATGTGGTAAGAATGATATAATATGATATACCATTGAGATCCATTGAAAACAGTGGTAACAATGATAGTATTATTATATATTATTATGCTATAGTGACATACAATGACAATAGTAGTAATAATGATAAAGCACTATTTTCACAATAGTATTTTTATTCACAATGTAATAACAGTTTTTTCAATTATAGTGGCAGTTTTACATGCTGTTTATCAATAGCAGTACTGATAGTGGTTACTGATCATCATTGACCGACGCAGGAGAGACGTTCTACAAGACCATCTCCAAGCAGGGCAGGTCAGCTGCAGCGGGGTGCCGCGGCTTACGGTTCACCTGCCTAACTGGAGATGTTTTTTGCAACATAGGATCAACATTGATAAACGCTGATAATCATAGGATGAACATATTATGATGAACGTATTTCATGGATTTTTTTCAGCAAGAATCAACACATATGCAAACATATGATAAACATATGGCAAAACTGTTGGTGTGTTTGGATGCTTTTGCCATTGCCGATTGGTAGGTTTGATTTCGAAACAGCCCTGTTTCGAGGAAGCATCTGGTTCAGTACAAGATCACGTACGAGGAGTCTGCGACTACAACAATGATGTTCTTGGGAGAAGTGGGTATGTCTCAATCATGATTTTCCCAACGAGAATCAAGTTGAACTGCAATTTTTGGTGTCCCCTATCTTAAGAAAAAAACCGAAATTCTCGAGCATTTGACTGGGCACTGAAATTATGATGATTCATATCTTCAGAGGTCTTTGTATTTCCGAATTTTGGTGGGTTTTTTTTGTGTCTTAATCAGCATTGTTTGAAAGTCTTTGGTGGCTAAATAGCGGTTGGCTCCCCCAAAGACGGCACCGTTCACAGGAAATGGAAGTAAAGCATGTATATTTATGTAGAATCACCATCTTCAGGGGTTAAACATGGTTCAGCCTTGTTAAACCATCTTAAAGTTCTATTTTCACAGGTAAACTATGGTAAACCTCCCCATCTCTTGAAAAGTCACCACCAGGAGCACGTGCAACGCTTGAAGAAGCAGGCGGCAATGGCGGCCACGGCCACCACCATGTCTTCCAGCGCAGCCTTCCACACGCAAAGCTCAGCCTTCTCCGGAACTTCAGAGCGCGGTTGGCCTGTTTTTTTGAGTCCGGGTCTTTGTGGGAATGCGTTTTTTGGTTTTATGTATTAACTAATGTGGAACATGAGGCACTTCAAACATGTGTTAATATCTATCTTAGTTTTCAGGCTTAGCAGTTGTAGAGAGATATATATATATAGATACTCGTATGTATTGTGGAAAAACTTTTGGCTTCAAGTCTTGTGTGTATGCGGTACACATCCAAGTTTGCACATCAGGTATGTAACAATAAACTACAAGGACCTGAAAGCAAACCCGTCAATCAGATGGATAGTTCATTTTGGTAGCTGCAATACAGCCGTTATTCTTGCTATGAAATATTGTATTGAGCCAATGAATATCAAAGAGACATGGAATTCAATTTTGACCGGTTGTGCCATCCTCAAGCGCTAGGGTGGTGTTTGCTTCTATGCTGCATGTCTTTACAGCAAGCACGAACAAGTGGAAACAGCACTTCTGATTGACAGGAGATTTCATTTTGTCCCTATGGACCGTTTTGTAAGGATACGCCATAAGCATGCTGTTCTCTTGAACAAATCGATGTTTTTCTTCCGGCGCAGCCATCCACACCTTCAGAAAATAAACAATCACGCTTTTCCTCAGAACCCCCCCCAAAAAAATATCGAGAGAACAAAAAGGAAACCCAAAAAACAAAATATCCCTTATATATATATAAAGGGACTCTTGCCTGGAACCCTTTCCAAAAAAACCTGAACATAGGATTTGTATGGATTTGTTGTTTTCTCCCCACCTGTCAGGTGAGGGTTGTTAGATTTTATGTCAGCTGGCCCATCTGGCCCGCCGCCTCCTCCTCCTCCTACTCCTCCGCGTCCTCCTCCTCCACCTGCTCACTGCAAGCGCTAGATCGCAGTGTTCCCCGCCGGACCCAAACAGCAAGCCCTGGATCAGAGTGTTCCCTGCCGGACCTCAACTGCAAGCGCTAGATCGCACTGTTCCCTGCCGGATGCGAAGAGCAAGTGCAAGCGCCAGATCGCAGTGTTCCCCGCCAAACCTCAACTGCAAGTGCTAGATCGCAGTGTTCCCAGCCGGACACGAACAGCAAGCCCAGGATCAGAGTGTTCCCCGCCGAACCTCAACTGCAAGCGCTAGATCGCACTGTTCCCCCCGGATGCGAAGAGCAAGTGCAAGCGCTGGATCGCAGTGTTCCCCGCCGGACCTCAACTGCAAGCGCTAGATCGCAGTGTTCCCCGCCGGACCCGAGCAGCAACCTCTGGATCAAAGCGTTCCTAGCCGGACCTCCAGCGCAAGCTCCGGATCGGAGTGTTCCCTGCCGGACCTCCAGCGCAAGCTCCGGATCAAAGTGTTCCCCGCTGGACCTCAACCGCGAGCTCCGGATCAGAGCGTTCCCCGCCAAACCTCAACCACAAAGAATCTCCGAAGATATACCAGATAATAATTAGATTGCCAGATAAAATGTCAGAAGATATGCCAGATACGCATGCCAGAAAGAATATCAGATAGAATGATTAGAATGTCAGAATATATGCCAGAAAGAATGTCAGAATATATATATATACACACCATATATACTTCCAGATGGTATGTCAGAAAGTATGTCAGAATTCATAGTGTGTCAGGGTGGGGATCACTCGAAGAAAGTAATTTATGCGTTTTTCCCCCCCTCCAAAGAGCAAGAATTTTTCCAAAGTTTTGTCAGGGGTTGTGCGTGATTTTAATCAATTTGGGATATATTGGATTTCATCTGATTTTTCAAGATTTCTAATGCTCTGGTCAAATTGTTGTGTAAAAATGCCCTTTAGAGCGCAGTAAACCTCTCAACATATACTCTTAAATCATGTGAAAACACCATTCCCAGCAAACCCTGATCGGTTTTTTTGGGGTACGTGGAGTGAAGAATTTTCAAGCATTTTCAAGTATGTTAGAAAAGGGTTGTTTTGGGAAACCTTTGTTATATGCCAATATATACATATACATGTGGTTTACATATACATTCACATTTCTATGTAAATATACATATATATATATATACATATACATATACATATATATATATACACATATATATACATATATATGTATACATATATATACATATATATATACATATACATATATATATATACATATATATACACATATAAATATATACCTATATATACATATATATATATATATACATATATATACACATTTGTAAATATATACATATATATATACACATATATAAATATATACATATATATATATACATATATATGTATATATACATGTATATATATATATATATACATATTTATATATATGACCAATTTGACATTATTCTCTGCGTGTGTTTGCACCTGGGGTGTACCCCACACATTTATGGCATTTAAATGGGTACACGTAATGAACTGGTGGATGGAACTGGAGGACTCCAAAATCATCCAACATCAGTCATTTGAATCGGAAACCACTGGAGTTGGGGTACCCAGTTTTGAAAAACACCAGAAAATGGAGGGATGACATCCATTTTCCAGATGAACGGGATAGGAAACTGTAGAACATGTTACAGCCTATGACTTCCGCAGGTTGGGAGGATTCTTCCTTGCCAGATTTGATTACCAGTGGCTATCCACGAAACAAATATGAGTTGCAACTGGACATGGATGGAATTCCACATGAAATGAATTGGGAATCAATCGGTCACAAAGACACAAAGATCTACCGATGCGGTTTTTAAATGGTGGACCCCAAAACATCCCAAAACCATTGGGATTTTCCGCCTAAAATCATTGGTTCTAGCTATGAAAACATGGCCATGTCGGGATGATTTCAAGATTCCCCCATGACTTGGACCAAGATTTCAGTCAACTGCCAGGCTACCCACATTTTCGCTGGGAGAGGCAAGCAGATCCAGCTGCAGATATATATATATATATACATATATCTACACACACACACGTATATACATGATTTACAGGTAATTATATGTATTAAATTAATGGCTCATGTATATCTTATATACACATACTTTGGTGTTGATTTGCTGTTGATTTGTCAACCTCTTGACATATCGTGGCAAGTTGGATTGCTGATCTCCACAGGTAAGTGCTTCGACTGTACCAGTGATCCCAATGGAGAAGCTTCGACTGTAGGGCGTGAGAGGCACCGGGGCCTCATGGTGACTCATGGTGACTTTTCGGGTGCGCAGGACAGACACGGGTCTTTGATGATTCGCCTTCTTTTGGTTTCATATTAAGGGGCTACGCCCCCTGCCGCCGACCCCTGGGAGAGAGTGAGTTTGGAACCCTTCGTGTGCCTGCAGTGAACATCTTCCACAGTGATGGCGGCCGATGCTCAGTCAAAGTCGCACTTAGATCGTTGATGGCCCAAGCTTGCAGGAGTAGACGTCGCCAGCATGGCCTCCAGACATTCATGGAATTTGAACGGAATCAGAAGATCAGCAATTCGAAAGATGAACATTCAAAGAGCACAGGGCAATCGAAATCATAGAAACTCTCAATGCATTTGTACACTAGACACAAGCACCATATCAAACCGACTAGAAACTAGCTCCAAGCTAGCCCAGAGAGCCAAACGTCACTTTCTGAACCGACTAGAAGTGAAGGACGGATCTTCTTTTTCTTCGTCTTCTTCGTTTTCTTGTTCTTCTTGTGGCTTCTTTCTGAACCGACTAGAAAACTAGCCTTTGAAGCCTGCAGCTGCCAGCTTTGGCGGCCGCTTCCGAAACAGGCAAACACCATGGCATGCCGGTCCCAACGGCGCTTCCGAGGCCCCGGTGCCAGTGCCTAACGTCACTTTCTGAACCGACTAGAAAACTAGCCTTTGAAGCCTGCAGCTGCCAGCTTTGGCGGCCGCTTCCGAAACAGGAAAACACCACAGGAAAACACCATGGCATGCCGGTCCCAACGGCGCTTCCGAGGCCCCGGTGCCAGTGCCTAACGTCACTTTCTGAACCAACTAGAAACTAGCTCCAAGCTAGCCCAGAGAGCCAAACGTCACTTTCTGAACCGACTAGAAGTGAAGGACGGATCTTCTTTTTCTTCGTCTTCTTCGTTTTCTTGTTCTTCTTGTGGCTTCTTTCTGAACCGACTAGAAAACTAGCCTTTGAAACCTGCAGCTGCCAGCTTTGGCGGCCGCTTCCGAAACAGGAAAACACCATGGCATGCCGGTCCCAACGGCGCTTCCGAGGCCCCGGTGCCAGTGCCTAACGTCACTTTCTGAACCGACTAGAAAACTAGCCTTTGAAGCCTGCAGCTGCCAGCTTTGGCGGCCGCTTCCGAAACAGGACAACACCATGGCATGCCGGTCCCAACGGCGCTTCCGAGGCCCCGGTGCCAGTGCCTAACGTCACTTTCTGAACCGACTAGAAGTGAAGGACGGATCTTCTTTTTCTTCGTCTTCTTCGTTTTCTTGTTCTTCTTGTGGCTTCTTTCTGAACCGACTAGAAAACTAGCCTTTGAAGCCTGCAGCTGCCAGCTTTGGCGGCCGCTTCCGAAACAGGAAAACACCATGGCATGCCGGTCCCAACTGCGCTTCCGAGGCCCCGGTGCCAGTGCCTAACGTCACTTTCTGAACCGACTAGAAAACTAGCCTTTGAAGCCTGCAGCTGCCAGCTTTGGCGGCCACTTCCGAAACAGGAAAACACCATGGCATGCCGGTCCCAACGGCGCTTCCGAGGCCCCGGTGCCAGTGCCTAACGTCACTTTCTGAACCGACTAGAGACTAGCTCCAAGCTAGCCCAGAGAGCCAAACGTCACTTTCTGAACCGACTAGAAGTGAAGGACGGATCTTCTTTTTCTTCGTCTTCTTCGTTTTCTTGTTCTTCTTGTGGTTTCTTTCTGAACCGACTAGAAAACTAGCCTTTGAAGCCTGCAGCTGCCAGCTTTGGCGGCCGCTTCCGAAACAGGAAAACACCATGGCATGCCGGTCCCAACGGCGCTTCCGAGGCCCCGGTGCCAGTGCCTAACGTCCCTTTCTGAACCGACTCGAAAACTAGCCTTTGAAGCCTGCAGCTGCCAGCTTTCGCGGCCGCTTCCGAAACGGGAAAACGCCATGGCATGCCGGTCCCAACGGCGCTTCCGAGGCCCCGGTGCCAGTGCCTAACGTCGCTTTCCGAGCCTGCTAGAAAACTAGCCTTTGAAGCCTGCAGCTGCCAGCTTTGGCGGCCGCTTCCGAAACAGGAAAACACCATGGCATGCCGGTCCCAACGGCGCTTCCGAGGCCCCGGTGCCACTGCCTAGCGTCACTTTCTGAACCGACTAGAAAACTAGCCTTTGAAGCCTGCAGCTGCCAGCTTTGGCGGCCGCTTCCGAAACAGGAAAACACCATGGCATGCCGGTCCCAACGGCGCTTCCGAGGCCCCGGTGCCAGTGCCTAACGTCACTTTCTGAACCGACTAGAAATTAGCTCCAAGCTAGCCCAGAGAGCCAAACGTCACTTTCTGAACTGACTAGAAGTGAAGGACGGATCTTCTTCTTCTTCGTCTTCTTCGTTTTCTTGTTCTTCTTGTTGCTTCCTGGCTTCTTGTTTCTTGCTTCTTGCTTCTTGTTTCTTGTTTCTTGCTTCTTGCCCTTGCTGCTTGTAATGACTTCTTGCCACGGCCCCCAGTGCCTAACGTTGCATTCTGAACCTACAAGAAAACTAGCTGTCTTCCAGCCGCCAAGCTTCACAAACGGCACCTTCGCCACACCAAAACAGCAGGACCCTGAGGGACGGACCGGGCCTGCGGGCCACGGCCCCCAGTGCCTAACGTCACTTTCTGAACTTACAAGAAAACTATAGCTGTCTGACCCAAAACGGCGCCTGCGCCACAGCCAAACAGCAAGGCGCTGAGGGACGGACCGGGCCTGCGGGCCACGGCCCCTTCCGAGGCCCCGGTGCCAGTGCCTAACGTCGCTTTCTGAGCCCGCTAGAAAACTAGCCTTTGAAGCCTGCAGCTGCCAGCTTTGGCGGCCGCTTCCGGAACAGGAAAACACCATGGCATGCCGGTCCCAACGGCGCTTCCGAGGCCCCGGTGCCAGTGCCTAACGTCACTTTCTGAACCGACTAGAAAACTAGACTTTGAAGCCTGCAGCTGCCAGCTTTGGCGGCCGCTTCCGAAACAGGAAAACACCATGGCATGCCGGTCCCCAACGGCGCTTTCCATTCTCCGAGCCCCGGTGCCATGCCTAACGTCACTTTCTGAACCGACTAGAAAACTAGCCTTTGAAGCCTGCAGCTGCCAGCTTTGGCGGCCGCTTCCGAAACAGGAAAACACCATGGCATGCCGGTCCCAACGGCGCTTCCGAGGCCCCGGTGCCAG